ACTCTTGAAATTGGATGAAGTGCATTTTGTATTCTGAGATGGCCAGGACCTTATGGGGGCAGGGGCTGGACAGTGTTGTTTGAATGAGAAATGCCTCCATAGTCTTGAACATTTGAATACTTGGTGTTAGTATTCTGGCATCTGTTCTGGCCTGTCCTTGGGTTCTGACAGGATACGTTCTCAGATGCAGCCACTAAGAGCACCACCTATCTACATTCACTACAATCCCTTTTAAAAGGTGGGCCTTGCCCACCTCCTGTCTCTTTCTTTTTCTCTCTTTCTCTGCTTCCATTTCCTTCCCTCCCTCCCTCTCCTGCCACTCTTGTCCCCAGGGACTGGTCTCTGCCTACCTTTCTATCCACTTCTCTGTTTCTCTCTCTCTTTTCCAATGAACCTCCCATGTGAGCTTTATTGTAATGGTGTGACTCCTTCCCACCATTTCTTTTTAAAATTATAACATTGGTTCCCTGAACCAGGAAAGGCTCTCCTGGAGCTTCCTCCTACCTGCCAGAAGTTTGAGGCGTGCCTGAACCCTGGAATCTGGTCCACATACGATACCCTTATTGCTCCAGATGCTTGGGTTCCTCCATCCAACACCAGCATGATTGTTGAGCCCCTCCCCATTCTCCACTTCTGGCCATTTCCCACAAGTGAGGACTAACTCTCTGTCATGGTTCCTTACCTCTTGGATAAGACCTGGTACTGGGCAATCACAGGTCACTTGGGCTCAGAGCCCTCAGTGCCCCCCCCTCTTCACCTTTGCCTGATGATGCACAGGACAACCTGTGTCTTCTTGAAATCGACCCTCTCTGAATTCCAGAGATAACAGGAATTGCAGGCCCTTGGGTCTTCTCCACTTCATTCATGGGGGCTGTGACATTGTCTATACCTCTTGGCTCCCACTGAGATTTTTTTTTTTTGAGACTCACTGACTACTCCTAATCAACTATTGATACAGGACTACCAACTGTTAGCCACAGAGCTGGAGGTGCAAGACTAGCAAACATGTCCAGGTGGTGAGAACCAATAGTACCCCAGAGGTACTAACTCTATAATGACTGCCCTCAGTAATCATCCACCTGTGTTTCCTGGTAAATTGGATAGAAAGAGGGTGTCTGGGTGATGTTGTGCTGATGGAAAGGATCAGGTGCTTTAAACCCTAGGGAGTCAACTTGGATCCATCTCGAACAGCATTTTGTCAGATCTAAGCAGTGACCTAATGGTTCCACAGAGCCTGGACAGTGACATGAACCGGCCAGCTACTCCAGGACATGGCCAGCACCCAGCTTTCTCAGGTCCCCCAAAGATTAATGAAACCCCCCAGATCAGCAGGAAATAGTCCCAAGAATACAGCATCCTCATCCCAGCCTCACCTGCTACCCCTTTCTAACTCCTTGTCTTTTTATAATAAACAAAAAGGAAGGAATGTTAGTATTCAGGCATCTGTACTGACCTGTCCTTGGGGTTCTGACAGGATACGTCCTCAACTGCAGCCACTAAGAGCACATCCTATGCACATTCACTATGTTCCCTTTTAAAAGGTGAGCCTTTCCCCCACATTCTGTCTCTTCCTCTGTCTGTCTGCTTCTCTTTCTCTCTCCCCCCCACCCCTTGTCCCCAGGGTCCAGTCTCTGCTCCTTCTCTCTCTTTCAATAAACCTCACATGTGAGCCCTGTTGTATCGTGTGACTCCTTCCCACCGTTTCTTTTTTAACTTATAACACTTGGAACTCTACTAGTGGTGTGATTTGGGGGAGGTTTAGGAGGTGTGTGACCTTGCTGCAATAAGTATGACACCCAGAGTGTTTAAAGACTCTTGGTATCATTGCTAGTTTACTCTTTCAGTTTTGTGAGCTTGTAGTTAAAGACATGAGCTTCCAACACCCCATTCTTGCCTGCCACTATGCCTGCTTCTTGCTGCCACCCCTCTGTGACATGGCAGATTTTTCTCTCTACAACTGTAAGTCCAAGTGAGCACGAGCTCTTTCTTCTATAAATTGCTCTAGTCCTGGTCCTTTTTTTTTTTTTTTAATGATGACAAAAAAGTAACTAATGCTGTGACATCTTATCTCAAATAAATAAATAAATGAGACAGACATGATAGGGCATGACTGTAATTCCAGTGCTTGAGAATGGGGACAAGAGGATCAAGAGTTCAAGGTCATTCTTGAATTCAGATTCTCAGCAGTGAGAGTTATATTAAAAACAAAACTAAAAAGGGCCATTGAGACGGCTCATTGGGAAAAGGTGCCTGCCACCAAGCCTGAGGTCCTGCACATGTTGTGCTGACCCCAACCACACACCCACAAATAAAAAAAAAAAAAAATGTAAAAAGATCTTCTCGTTTAAAATAGTGGAGGGAGGCTGGAGAGGTGGCTCAGTGATTAAGAGCACTGGCTGTGCTGGTTCAATTCCCAGCATCCATATGGTAGCTTACAACAACCTGTAACTCTAGCTCCACAGGACCTCTGGCCTCTTTGTTGTTTTTTGTTTTTTTAAAATTTTCTTTAAATTTCATTTTACATTCCAATCAAAGTTCTCCCTCCCCTTTCCCCGACAGGTAAGGGCTCCCATTGGGAGTCAACACAGTTTGACACATAAGTTAGGGCAGGACCAAGCCCCTCCCCTTTGCATTAAGTCTGAGCATGACATTCCCTCATAGGGAATAGGCTTTAACAAGCCTATGCACTAGGGATAGATCCTGGTCCTACTGCCAGGGGTCCCTCAGATAGCCCAAACTGTCTCCCACATACACAGGGCTTCTGGCCTCGTTGTGCATTAAAGGAACATAATGCACAGATATACATGCAGGCAAAAGACCCATACACATAAAATAACAAACTTTTTAAAAGTGAGAATCATGAGTCTTAAGCATAAGAACAGTGACAACGGTAATACAATAAATGAGATACAGGAATTAATCATGGTTTCAGTTGTTCACAATATATTATTATGAAAATGTTCATCCCAGTACTTGGGAGCCTGAATCAAGAGATTGTGAGTTCTATGCCAGCTTGGGCTATGTAGTAAGACTGATCCTGTGTAAAAGTAAATAAATGCAAAACTTCCATCAAAAAAATTCCCATATGGTTGGAGAGACAGCACCAAGGTTTAGAGTACACACTACTTTGAGAGGACCTGAAACATTTATAATTAGCATGTTGTTTATATGATGGTCAAAAAGTTTGCCAGGCAGTAGTGGCACACATTTTTAATCCCAGCACTTGGGGGCAGGTGGATCTTTGTGAGTTTGAGGCCAGCCTGGTCTACAGAGTGGGTTCCAGGACAGCCAGAGCTGTTACACAGAGAAACCCAGTCTTGAAAAAATCAAAACCATCCAGGCATGATGGCTCAGGCCTTTAATCCCAGCACTCTAGGGAGGCAGATGCAGGTAGATCTCTGTGAGTTTGAATCCAGTTTGGTCAACAGATTGAGATCCAAATCAACCAAACAAACAAAAAGTTAATTTTTAAAAAAAGATATATAGGTGTTTTGCTTGCAAGTATGCAATTAATGTAGCAGTCAGAAGAAGGTTTTGGGTGCCCAGCAACTGTAGCTACAGATTGCTGGGAGTCACCATGTGGGTGCTGAGAAATTAAATCCGAGTCTTCTGAATGGGCAGCCAGTACTCTTAAACAAAGTCATCTCTCCAGTCCTATCTCACACATTTTAAAAAATACTCTGTAAGAGTAAATTGTACATCCTGGTCTACAGAGTAAGTTCCAGGACAGTCAGGGCTGTTTCACAGAGAAACCCTGTCTCTAAAACTCAAAAGAGGAAAAAAAGAGTAAGTTGTAGTTATCGTGCTCCTTTATCTCTAATCACATCAGCAGTTTTCCACAAGAGGAAAGACAGACTTACGTTGAAAACACAGGGGGAGATACCTGCCGCCCCATCTTCCCTTCAATGATCAGCATAGACTACGAATAGGATTTCATACAGTTTCCCCTCGACAAACCCAGCATATAGTTATTTCTTTTCTTTTTCTTTTTGTTTGATTTTTAACACAGGTTTTTCTCTATGTAGCTTTGGCTGTCCTGGAACTTGCTTTGTAGACCAGGCTGTCCTGGAACTCACGGAGATCCGCCTGCCTCTGCCTTCCAAGAGCTGGGATTAAAGGCATACAACACCAATGCCTGGCACATACAGTTATTTTGCAGTAGATAATGGCTGAGTGTTCTCTTAGGACTTTAGGAATAAATGCTAGCAAGAGGGTAAAAAAATCTGCTGTTGTTATTTTGTTTCATAACATCACCACACATAACTCACGTACAATCAAAAATAATTTAGTATGGAGATACTAACATTTAGTAGACAAATTTTGCTAATTATTTCAGTACTGGCATTTATAGCAAATCTCTCTAAGTGGAAGATGAAAACCAAGCCCAGGTGTTTCACTTGATACACATATGTTTTTTATAATTATTTATTTTCCAATGCTGGGAATGAACCCAGGGCCTTGTGCATACACTTAAGGTTGAGCTATGCCTCCAGAGCAGGCATCTTCCATCTCTGTTAATCAATAACATTCTTCAATTTGCATGGCTCTCAGAATTTTGGAACAGTGCAGACCAATTATTCTGGAATAACACCATGGGTTTGTTTCTGTTTTGTTTTCCCATGATTTGATGCTGCATTCTCACTGTGCCACGCTGTGAAGATGGTTTGTTTGTTCTGTTATTGATGTTAATATGGTTAAGGTTGGTTAAAATGATGCAGGTTGTCTTCACTACAAAATGGCTATTTTTTCCAATTATCTTGGAATCCTTGGAGTTTCCTTTCAACTTCGTGGGAATTAAAAGAAAGATTTACTTTAGCAAGTGGATCCCTTACTAGAGCTGAAAACATTCAGCGATGTGCCTTTGACAACATCGCCTTTGCACGCATGAGAGCGCAAACCTCTACGGAAGGGTGGGGCGCTTTGCCGCATGGTCTGCTGGGATTTGTAGTCTGCGGGTGCTCCCGTCAAACAGTCCTACGGAGTCCAGCCGAGAAAGAGCCTGAAGCTGAGAGCGCGGGCGGAAAGAGGGTTGCGAACTCTGCGCGCGGTGCTCCATAGGAATTGTAGTTCCTGACACGAGTCCAGCCATACTCTTGCCGGAGGACAGGACTTCCCTTCCCGGTAGGCCCTGCACGCGGGCCCGGCAAAACCCTGCTCCGGCTTGAACAAATCAAATCTAAGGAAAGAAACTGCCGGCTTTCAAAATTCCTCCTCCGCCGCCATCATCGCTGGGGGATTGTAGAGCAGGTGGTGTGCACAAATCTGACGAGCAGCCGCTGCAGCGAGGACGATCGGGCGGACTGGGAACTGGCACTGCCGCACGGAGGCGCGGTGACCCTCACGCGGGCTCTCGAGCCGTCCTCGACACGCGCGTTCCGTCACCCCACGCGGCGGCGCCGCCTGTTTGCGGTGAGTCGGGGCCCTCATGCTGTTCTGTCACCTGCGTGGGCCACCAGGGCCTGGCTGGGGCGAAGCGATCGCCTCCTGCCTACCGTTTGACCTCGCTGTGCCCACCGCAGCCCCGCGTGGTGTGGTGGGCGCTGGGCCGCGCTAACCCTCTCACATTTGGGGAAACGGAGGTCTAGAGAAGTCACATGCCGCAGCTGCCCCCCCCCCTTTGCGCTGCTGCCCGCGGTGGCATCTCGGGTTGGCATCCATCTCACCTGGAGGCGGTGCGAGGCCGCCTGGCGTTCCGGGTGGGGCCCCGGGTAGGCACCCGAGTCGGCCCACGTCCGCGCGGGAAGTATGGCATGAGTCACTGCTGACGCTTTGCCGTGTCGATGATGGATGTGCACCTGAGGACTTCTCCCACGCGGCCGCCCAGGAGGAGAGGGCGTTTGTGTATTGACCGTTTCTGTCTGCTCCCTCACAGGCCCGCTGCTGACCTTGGACAGATCAATTACACCCCTCTGTGCTTTGGTTAGTCATTATTTAAAGTGAATGGGGGAGTGCTTGTATGTCCCCGTCCTCTTCCACCTGAAGCCTTACCACCACTGCCACATTTTTAACCTCATCGCCCCATCTAAGAACTGTAAGAGGTAGCAGGGTTGCCCATCTTCGTTTTGTCATTCTTTGAGATGCCCCTAAAAAACATCAGGCCTTATACCGGGACACTGTTCCGTCAAAGCAGCTTTTTATCTGCTGGAAACCTTCCAGGGACCTCCATAGTGATACACAATCTTTAAAATGAACTTGGTGACTTGAGACCCATTAATTATCTTTTGTCTAATTTTTTTTCCATTCTTCTCTTTGGTCTATTCATAGCCCCACTGGCCTTATAATTCCCTCCTCCTCTCCCCAAGCCAGTGCATATTCTGTTCACCTTTAATTATTCTGCTGTAAATCGCAACCCCCACCCCTCAAAAAAAAAAATAAATCCAACAAAAACAAAAACCACCTTCTTCCTTTCCTTGTCCCTTTCCTGGTTGGTCTGTGTGGGTTTTTCTTTGTATTTTTCAGACAGGGTCTCATGTAGTTCAGGTTGGCCTCAACTCCCTCACTAGCTGAGCATGGCTTTGAACTCCTGATCCTTCTGCCTCATTTCCCAAGTACTAGATCATAGGTGTGCACCCACCATCTGGTCGTTCTTATTATTTTATTTTTTTGTGGTGATAAAGACTGAAATCAGAGCCTCAAAAATACTAGCAAGACTTCTACCACCCAACTGCCCCTCCCTCACTTCTGTGAATCTCTTCATTGACATGCAAGCTTCAAACAGTGTGTAATTTACTGTGTATCTATCTCCTGGTATTTGGAACAGTGGCAGTACATGGTGCTCAATACAGTGTTTTGCTGAGTGTTCTGTTGTTTTATCTGAGTAATAGTTTATGCTATGGATAAACTAACTAAATCAGGATGCTCAGGAGTAAGATAAGGAAAAGTGATGGTATGCAGGCTGAACCTAGAGGAAGCCTGCTATGGGGCCAGATGTCTGAAAACCAGGAGTTTGGTGGTGCTTAGTTCTTTGCTGAGAATCAGGCTCTGACCTGTTTTTAGCAGGATTACTATCTGCATGTGGCCTAGCATTCAGAAGGTGCTCAAGGAATGACTTGACTGTTCCCTGTGTCTTAATCAGTGTTCTATTGCTGTGAAGAGACAGTGACCAAAGCTACTCTTACTATTTTTTTTTTTTTTAAGTATTTAAGTATTTAAGGTTCACAGAGTTTTAGAGGTTTATTCCATTATCATTAGGTTGGGGAACACAGTGGCACAAATGGACTGGAGTAGTAGCTGAGAGTGACAACCCGATCTGAAGGCAGAGAGAGAAAATCCTACTTTGTGAGCTTATGGGGGCCATTCTTATTCAAACCACCTCACCACGGTGGTAGTGCTGGAGGTTGAACCTACAGCCTCCTGCATGCTAGGCAGGTCCCCTTCACTTAGCTGTCTATACCCCTGCCCTCTTTTCCATTCTGCCAGTCTGTTAAGCTCCCAGCTGTGGATAGCTTTGTTGCTGGTAGTGAGATTATGAAATATGAATTTGGTTATAGTTCTGCTTCCTGGCATAGAAAACTCCTAAAATTCTAGAGTGACATGTCTTTGTACTCTTATGCTGACAGCTGGCTCTCAGTTCCTCAGGTTATGTGGATGGACTGAGGTGGTCATTGGAAAAACCCAAACAGACTTACAGGCTGGGACTCTTGCCCTGTATCCCAAGCTCAGATTTATCAGCGACACCTATAATTTAGTCATGATGCTTATGTAACAAAGTCTATAAACCTCCAAAAAGACAGGACTTGGAAGGCTTCCAGACATCTGAACATAGGACTCTTGGAGGATGGCAGGCCTTAGGAGTGCATGGAAACCTTGGCCCCTTTTCTCTTGCCTTTTAAATTTATCTGGCTGCTCATTTGTATTCTTTAAAGTATCCTTTGTTTGCTGGCATGATGGTGCACACCCTAATCCCAGCACTGGGAGGCAGAAGTGGGCCGATCTCTATGACTTTGAGGTCAGCCTGGGCTGCAGATTGAGATCCCGTCTCTCAATAAATAAGTGATGAAGCCATTTGTTGGGGTTTGAAGGTATGATGATGGGTCTGGGGTACCAACCCCCACCCACACATACACACCGACACAACCTTTATAATCAGTAGCTAGTATTTTTTCCCCACGTTCTGCAAACTGTTCTAGCACATTAATTGACCTCACGGGGAGGGTCATGGCAGCACTAGTTCCTAGCTAATAGATCAATCAGAAGCACAGGTAAACAAGCACCCTGGGGTTCACGCTAGCATCACGTGTGTGGCAGCCTTGTAGACCAAGCCATCATCCCCTGGGATCTGAGAGTGCTAGGACTGAATTAGAGGGTAGCACGGAGCTAGTGCTTCTGAGGTGGTTGCTTGTTTGATGTGTGCAATGTGTATCTGAAACACAGCGGAGAAGCTGAGTTTGTTCCCTGCACACTGATCTATTGTGATGGCAGCCCTTGTGATGTAGGGACCTCTGGTCTCCTAGGAACCTCAGAGGATACTGTGTCGTGTGCAGTCTCCTGGCCAGGGTTGAAACCAGACATGCCTTAGCCTTGTGTGCCACCCTGAGTCATGCCAGCATGGGCAGTGGGGCATTCCCTGGGATGGATGACCTGGATCCCATAGCCATCTGTGTCCTGTTTGAGGAGCAGGACCCTCAGACAAAGTGCTACCAAGATGATCAGGCAGGTGTGTGACTCTTGAACAGCCATTGCTTTGGGACTTGACTGGCCCACACTTGGTGTCCCTCCCTGCTGGGCCAGTGTGGAGATGAACTATTGTTTTCCTAATCCCATATTCATTTCTCTTGGTGCTTAAGCTTCCCAGAAGAATACTTTTTAAAAGACTTTTTTATTTGCTTGGTTTTTTATTTTTAAACATCTTGTTTGTTTGTTTTCGAGACAGGGTTTCTCTATATAGTCCTGGATGTCCTGGAACTTGTTCTGTAAACCAGGCTATCCTTGAACTCAGATCCACCTGCCTCTGCTTCCCATGCCAGGGATTAAAGGCGTATGCTACCTACCATGGCCGGCTTGGTACATATTTTTTAATGTATTGGGTGTATTGTCTGCATACATGCCTGTACCATTTGTCTGTCATGCCCACAGAGGCCATGGCCACCATATGGATGCCAGGAATTCAACATTAGTTCTCTGGAAGAGCAGCCTCTTTGGTACTGAGCCATCTTCTAACCCCGTGGTTCCCAAACCTTCCTAATGCTGCGACCCTTTGATACAGCTCATGTTGTGGGGACCCCCCAACCATAAGCATTTTTGTTGCTACTTCATAACTAATTTTGCTACTGTTATGAATCACAATGTAAATATCTGTTTTTTTCAGTTGTCTTAGGTGACCCTGGCTTGATAATTACTGCCATTTAAAAAATATTTTAAGGATTTTTGCTGGGCAGTGGTAGCACACATCTTTAATCACAATACTCAGGAGGCAGAAGCAGGTGGATCTCTGTGAATTGGGGCTAGCCTGGTCTACAGAATGAGTTCAGGACAGGCTCCAAAGCTACACAAAGAAACTCCTTCCTCTCACCTCCCCCTCCACTCCTTCCCTGGGGCTCCCATGGGGGGTGTCAACAAAGACTGGTCCAAAGCCTTAGTTTGGGAAACTTAAGAGTTTATTATAATAAAAGCAAACTGGTCTTTATTAAGATCATCTTTAAAGACAAGGAATTATTTGGGGTTTCCTCCATCTACTGCAATGGATGAGTTTTTAATGTGTATGTGTGAGTGTGAGTATGGGTATGTGTGAATATAAGTATGTGTGAGTGTGACTTTATGCAAGTGTGAGTGTGAGAATATACATGTGAATGTGGGTACCCTGAGAAGTCAGAGGTGTCTGGTCCTGGAGTTGAGCACTAACAGGTATTTGTGAGCTGTCCTGTGTGGGTGATGGGATCAAATGTGGGTTCTCTGTAAGAGCAGCAAGTACTTTTAACTGATGAGCCATCTCTCCAATCCCCCTTCACAGGATTTTTTGTGTGTGGGTGCAGTGAACTTTATTGGTGGTATTGAAGGGCTCCCTAAGCTCTTCCCCATCTTCTGGGTGTGCTCAGTGATGGGGTGCTGAGTTGGTTGGGGAAGTCCTCCTCAGTAGTTGCTCTCCTGTCCTTGCTTGGTTGGGTGATCTGGTCTAGGACTTTTTACTCCTTGGAGGCCATGAGGTCCTCCACCCTGTTGCTGTAGCCATATTCACTGTCCTACCGGGAAATGAGCTTTACAAAGTTGTCATTGGGAGCAGTGCCAGCCCCAGCCTCAAAGGTGGAAGAGTGTAGCCTAGGATGCCTGTTTCACCAACTTCTTGACGTCATCATACTTGGCAACTTTCTCCAGGTGGCATGTCAGATCCATGATAGACACACTGGGGCTAGCAACATGGACGGCCATGCCAGTGAGCTTTCAGCTCTGGGGTGACCTTGTCCACAGCCTAGGTAGCAGCAGTGGCTGTTCTTGGTGGTAGTGGTGGCATGGACTGTCAGAGTGGTCATGGATGGTCTTGGCTGGGTGGCTAAGCAGTTGGTGTAAAAACAATGCTGACAATCTAATTGAGCCATCACAAACATGGGGGCATCAGCAGAAGGAGCGGAGACGATGACCCTTTTGGCCCCTCCCTTCTGGTGAGTCCTGGCCTTCTCCATGGTGGTGAAGACCCTAGTAGACTCCACATTTGTGGAAGAGGGTTCCCTTTGATAACAAGCTTCTTGTTCTTAGCCTTGACTGTGCTGTTGAAACTGTGGGTAGTACTGAAACATGTAGACCATGTAGTTGAGGTCAATAAGGCGCCATTGATGGCAACAACATCCACTTGGTCAGACATAAGGCAACTCTGGTAATTAGGCCCTCTCATATCACCAAATCCATTCACTCTGACCTTCACCATCATGTCTTAGGGACAAGGCTGGCACTGCACAATAAGATTTGGCTGTCTCTGGAATGGGTGGGACAGAGACTCAAGAATTTCCTTTCTTTAATAAAAATTTGCATTGGTGTTTTGCCTGCATGTATGTCTGTGTAGGGGTGTCAGGTTCCCTGGAACTGAGTTGCAGACAGCTGCAAGCTGCCCTGTGGATGCTGGGAATTGAACCTGGGTCCACTGAAAGAGCAGCCAATGCTCTTTACAGCTGAGCCATCTCTCCAGCCCCATAAGATTCTTTTTTAATGCAGTTTCTGTCTTCAGTTTGTAGGTCTCCCGGGCAGCCCACCATTGTTGCCAGCATGGCCTCAGAAGACATTGCCAAACTTGCAGAGACCCTGGCCCAAACCCAGGTGGCCGGAGGACAGCTGAGCTTTAAGGGCAAGAGTCTCAAACTGAATACTGCGGAAGATGGTGAGTTCCTGGGATAGCTATATACTGGGATAGCTATATAAGGAAGAGGTTGTTTGTGAATGCTTACTAGTCTTCAGGCTTTCTGAGCCATTTTGTCTTGATCATTTGTCCTGGGAGGTAGGTCAATGTCCTCAGTCCATTCTAACAGTGAAGCTTCTGTTATTTTGTGTGTGTGTGTGTGTATCTGTGGTGTTTTTTTTTTTTTTTTTTTTTTTTTTGACAAGGTCTCATCAATGTGTAGCTTAGACTAGTCTCAAACTTGTCCATCTAGCTTAGCCCCTGACTTCAGGGCTGGGTTCTTCCCACCCCTACCTTTACTCTCACCATCTCAGGCCAATTATCTTCCTTGTTGCAGAGGTCCTGAGGGAGTTGCATTAAAAGAGTGGTGTTTTTTGGGCCAGGTGGTGGAGTAGAGGCAGGTGGATCTCTGTGAGTTTGAGGTCAGCATGGTCTACAGAGCTAGTTCCAGGACAGGCTCCAAAACTACAATAGAAACCATGTCTCAAAAAAAAAAAAAAAAAAAAAAAAGAAAGAAAGAAAAAGTGTTGGGCCCTCATGGGGAATTCCAGTCCTTGAAATCAAAGCTTAGGCAGCACAGGGAACCTGGAATCTCTTGTTGCCTAGAAATGAAGGTATCTGCCTTTGGACCTTGTGACCCAGATTGTCTCATGTACTGTTAAACTTACTCTCTTCCTTCAGGGGACTTAAGGAACCTCAGAAGGGTGTGGATATCCATCCCTAACAACTTCACTGTACCTTGAAATGTACAGACTCCTCTATGGATACCAACCTCTCAACTTCACCTGCTTTGTTTATTTTGGTTCCATATTTGTTTTGTTTTGTTGAGGCAGGGTCTCACTATGTAGATGAGGCTAACCTTGAACTTGTAAAGATCCTCTGCCTCTGGAGTGCTGAAATTGAAGGCATTCACCACTAGATCTGACCTATTGTGTTGGGAGATGTCATTCTGTAAATGTTTCTCATACTGGTTAATGAAGAAAGCACTGTTGGCCAATAGGAAAGCAAGATAGGTGTGACTAGGAGACAAGGAGGATTCGAGGAAGTAGGGGGGAGTCAACATGAAGAGACCTAGGAGAACAGAGGTGTTGGCCCTCTCTCTGGTAAGATGAGACCACGTGGAAATACTTAGATTAATAGAAATGGGTTAATATTTAAGACAGAGCTGGCCAATAAGCAATGATAATAACAGGCCAACAGCTTTATATCTAGTACAGAGTCTCTGTGTGTTATTGGGGACTGGTGCAGTAGTGGGCCCAGGCCAGCAGGAAAACCTACTCCTAACAATAATCACTATGTAGATGAGGCTAACCTTGAACTTGTAAAGATCCTCTGCCTCTTGAGTGCTGAAATTGAAGGCATTCACCACTAGATCTGACCTATTGTTGTTTTTCTGAGACAGGGTTTCTTGGTGTAGCCTTGGCTGTTCTGGAACTCGCTCTGTAGACCAGGCTGGCCTCCAATGATGTGTTTTTTGTTTTGTTTTTGAGATAGGGTCTCATGCATCCAGGCTCGCCTCAAACTGGCTATGTAGCAGAGAATGGCCTTGAACAACTCCTGATACTCTTGCTTCTACACTCCCATTTACTGGGATTTGTATTATCATCTCTGTGGGAAGAGGGTAAAAATGCTTGTTCTATAAGTAAGACTAAGACACTCAAGATCACAAAAAATTTTTTTTTCTTCAAGATTTATTTATGTGAAGTGTTCTGCCTGCATGTATACCTGTAGGCCAAAAAAAAGGTGCCAGATCTCATTCCACCATGTAGTTGGTGGGAATTGAACTCAGGACCGTTGGAAGAACAGCCAGTGCTCTTAACCTCTGAGCCATCTTAGATTTATTTAGCCAGCTGGTGGTGCCCGCCTTTAGTTCCAGCACTTGGGATGCAGAGGCAGATGGATCTCTGTGAGTTTGAGACCATCCTGGTCTACAGAACTAGTTCCAGAACAGTCTCCAAAGCTACAAAGAGAGACCCTGTCTGGAAAACCAAAAGAAAGAAAGGGAGAGAGAGACAGAGAGAAAGGGAGATAAAAACAAAACAAAAACTAACAAAAAAAAATTCTTTTTGCATATTCAGTGTTCAGCCTGCATGCATGTCTGCCTGCATGACAGAAGAGGTCACCAGATCTCACTGCAGATGGTTGTGAGCTACCGTGTGGGTGCTGGGAACTGAACTCAGGACCTCTGCAAGAGCAGCAGTGCTCTTAACCACTGAGCCATCTCTCCAGATTACAGATTACACATTTAGCAAGATCAGTGATGTTTAGTTGAATAGACACTGATCTTAATTTAGTAAATACAAATTTGAAAACATGTGCTGTTCATTGGGCCAGAGAGATGACTCAGTGGTTGAAGCTGATGACCTGGGTTCAGATGCTGGAAGCATGTGGTAGGAAAGAGCTGACCCTGCAGGTTGTTTTCTGATCTTCACATTTGTGTACACTCACAAACACAGTAAATAATGAGGGTGTGTGGTTTCTTCCCTTTATCCTCATTTTGCAGATTTGACTGAAGATGTGATAAAACTTCCCTAAGGGCATAGTCACCAGTAGTGGAGGTAGAATTAAAATGAAGTTTTGGGCTGAGGATGCAGTTCAGGGTACTTTTGTATACAAGGCCCTTGATTTGATACCTGGCACTGAGAGAGTAGACAGAGCCCCTGAGTTCGGCTTTAATACTCTGGTGGCTAATTTTGCCACCTCACCAGCATTGTATTAGGTCACTAGGGATGCCTACCTTACCTCAGCCTCTGAGGGGGAGTGGGGTACCTACAAGGCAGAATGTGATGAGCATCTTTGAGATTTGAACTAGAGGACCTGAGAAGTGATGGTCATTTTATCTATCTGATTAATTGATTGAGTTAGTTTAGTTAGTTAGTTAGTTAGTTAGTTAGTTAGTTAGTTGGATGGGGTTTCTTTCTCTGTGTAGTCCTGACTTTGTGGACCTGGCTGGCCTCAAACTCATATAGATCCTCTTGCTGATGCTTCCTGGGTGCTGGGATTAAAGGAGTATATCACCATGCCTGGGCCTGCCCTTGTATAAGTGTTTTATCGAGAAGGCCAGCCTCCTAACATTAGAGGGGGCCACCTTTTAGAGCAAGTCTTGCAAAAGGCCATTGTCTTCAGGACAGCTGTAGAGGAGGCTCTAGCCACAGGCATGGCAGCAAGAGAATCAAAATTTCAAGGTCATTTTTGACTATGTAGTATACTTCAAAGCCTGCCTGAGCTATAGCAGACAGTATCTGTAAAAACCACAAAACCAAAAAGGAAGCTTCCTTATTCATAATGTCTCTACTGCTAACTGGTTAACACCACAGTGAATAGCCTGTGCTTGCTTGAGCATGAAGAATGATGTGCACAGCCCTGTTCCTGACTAGGCTGGGAGCCTGCCCCGTCCTCCTGCCTGGGAGTGTGGTGCAAAGGGAATGTGCCAAGGTGCTTCTGACCCAGTGCCCCAGTGGTTCAGGATTGCCAAAACCTAAGGTTCTCTGTTCACACAGCTAAAGACGTGATTAAGGAGATTGAAGACTTTGACGGCCTGGAGGCACTACGATTGGAGGGTAACACGGTGGGTGTGGAAGCGGCCAAAGTCATCGCCAAGGCATTAGAGAAGAAGTCAGAGCTGAAGGTGAGTGTACAGGCAGAGGAGGTCTGTGAAAAGTCCCCTCACATTGCTACAGCTACTACCTAGATCCAGACCCTGTTGAAGCTTTGTCCTGGTGACTGGTACTTACATTGTTCCTCCTCCTTTGGTCACAGCAGAACATGGGATTTCGGCCTTTTCCTGAAATGAGACATTCATTGTTCAGGGAGCATTAGTAGTACAGGAGTCTTAATTGGAGGTGACACCCTTGAAAGATAAAGGGGGGGGTCTTTTTACTCTTTTACTCGCATTGCATGCCCCATGTTCCCCAAGAACCATAAAAATTAGCCTGCACATGCTTCTAACAGACCCACCTGGAGCAATCAGAGCCAGTGACATGGCTTTTGCAACCGAGTTGTAAATGGCTCCTACCTTTGTGACATCTGATCATTTTCACTAAACTTGCTTTTTACATATTTTAGGGGAAAAAATTTAATGTGTATGAGGTTTTTTTGTTTTGTTTTGTTTTTTCTTTTTGTTATTTTTTTTCAGTCTGGCTTTGAACTTAGAGCCCCCTGCCCTGCCTCCCAAGTGCTGGGATTAAAGGTGTGCACCACCACTGCCTGGCTGTGTATAGGTATTTTGCCTATATGGTTGTATGTGTGTGCACCATGTATGTACCTGGTACTGGGCAAAAGAGGACATAGGATCTACTGGATCTGAAGCCTCAGGTGGTTGAGAGCTTCTGTGTGGGTGCTGAGAACTGAATCAGGGTCCTGGAAGAACAGCCAGTGTTCTTAAATGCTAAGTAATCTTTCCAGCCCCTAAACTATCTTTTTCAAAGTAATTGAAGTGCAGCACTATTTCTTTAAATATGAAATCAACAGACATAATACAAAAGAAAACAGAATAGTGAATTTTTGCTTGACACTAAGGCCACGTAGGGACTTGAAGTCTGAGCCTTATTCTCCCTTCCTTAAAAAGCAAGACAGTGGGCTGGTCGGTGGTGGTGCACACCTTTAGTCCCAGCACTCGGGAGGCAGAGGCAGGCGGAAAGCCTGAAGTTGCAGTATTTTGGAGGTTGGGGAAGGATTAGGAATTTAAGGCCAACATCAGATACATGGCCTAAGGCTAGCTTGGGCTATGTGTAGTTTTCCATGTTAACACCAATGTTTACTTTTGTGACAGAATTATCATATGTTCCCCAAAGGGTTGGACAGATCAGAGAGAATTCCCTTTGCTTCCAGGACAGAATTGGTCCATTTCAAAGCTGAGAAAACCAAAACTAGGAAATCTTGTAGGCCTCTTGGGTGCCCAATTCTCAAGGAGGTACAAGTGGTGTAAGACTTGGCTTGGGCTTCTTCTGGGTTCTTGAGCTAACACTTCCTTTCTTTTGCACAGCGATGCCACTGGAGTGACATGTTTACTGGAAGGCTTCGATCCGAGATCCCACCTGCTCTGGTAAGGACCAGGTAGCGTGTCCCTGCAGGCTTAGGAACCCTTCACACCTGGTTCTCTTGGGAGTCAGGTTAGCCCCACAGGTGTAAACCAGGCATGACTAGCACCTGCCCTGTGTCCCATCAGTTAATGGGAGCAGGTGAAAACATGAGGAAGCCCACAGGGCCAAACCTCAGATGGGAAGTATTGCTTAGAGCCGGCATTCCCAAGGTCCCTGTTCTCACCCTCTCTGGGTACCATGGTCCCTGTGCCCCAGGACCTGCTTCCTCAGGACACAGTCTGCATGCAGTCTCTTGTGGCTGCTCCACCTTTCTCTGTCACTCTCCTGTTGTGATGCTCAGTAGTGGTTCCAGTTCCTAGGGCCAAGTGCAGGCATGGCACAGGCTGGTAGTGGGCTGTCCTAAGTCGGTCTCCCTAGCACAGGGCCTCAGGAGGTAGGTGTTTGGGGTGAAGGGTGCTGGGCTGGCTGTCCTGGCCCTGCCCCCTCCTCAACAGTGAAAAGCCTACACTCCATCCTTACTTCTAAAGATCCTGGGACTCTCAAAGGGTCTTTGGGAGGGCCCACTGTGTGGAGCCAGCTCCTGAGAGATGGAGATGGTGTCAACATTTGAAGAATGAACAGTCCGGGATTCAGGGTGCAGTCTGAGTGAACTCTTCAGGGTGAAACAAAGTAGAGCGGCTTTCTTGTGGCATTTAGTTTACTTGGGCATTGAAGGCGTGCTTTAGCTCCACATTCCTAGTAATGAGAACCTGGAGCAAGATGGTACTGCTTCAGGAAGTAGATGCAGTGCACAGTGTGTCCACCAGAGGGCTAGAGGCCAGCTGGGGCTAGTCCTTCATATGGCAGGGCAGCCATTAACTTGTTTGTTGAGTGGTGGGAGGATAATAAGAAACTATGTATTGTATGGGCAAAGGCTAGATGTTTCCTCTTGGATTCCTGCCATTGTGAGCTACTTACCCAGCCTTAATGCCTGTTCCCCCTTTTCCCATCCCACCTCTGGCCGGTTCTCCTGCCAGGGCTGGGGGTGTCTTCTGTTCCACCCCCAGGTTGCCAGCAACATCCTGCTCAGACAATCCTGAAACTTGAGGTGTTTATGAGGCTGCCTTGCATATCCAGGGGAACCCCAGCTTAGACAGACTCTCATCGTTATCTCTCTTCTCTGGTTTCTGTTGCTGTCTGGAATCCTTCTCTATTGACTGGCTGGCTCTCATCCTCAGTGAGCCTAGTGCCATCTCCTACAGGGAGCCTTCCCAGAGCTTCCTATTCCCAGGTGCCACTCACTCAGATTCCAGTGTAGGAAAATAGTAATAAAAAGTGTGTTGTAAAAGCCAGTGTTTGGGCCAGCCTGGTGGCTCGGTAGATAAAGGTACTTTTTGTGTGCACACCTCAGTTCACGCTGCATGAATGCCATGGTGGAAGGAGAGAAGCAGCTCACAGAAGTTATTTTTGTACACATGTGCCAGGACTCAGGCACAATAATAATAACACCAGTAATCTGTAATTTTCAAGCCAGTGTCTGTGCTACATTCCCACTAGCTTGGGTATGACCTGTGGCTAGGCCTGAGTCTAGCCCAGAAGTGATGTTTGATTGCTGTCTGGGAAGCTGACAGAGCTCTCTCTATGTCCAGATCTCACTAGGGGAGGGGCTCATCACTGCAGGAGCACAGCTGGTGGAACTGGACCTCAGTGACAACGCATTTGGACCTGATGGAGTGCGAGGCTTCGAGGCCCTCCTCAAGAGCCCAGCATGCTTCACCCTGCGTGAACTCAAGCTTAACAACTGTGGCATGGGCATTGGAGGTGGCAAGGTGAGTTGGCAGGCTCAGTGACCTCTGCGTCCAAACTGGGTTGTGTATTCCAGCCCTTAGCTCCACCACTGGGGACAGCAGTTTGCAGCCAGTGAAGAAAGGAGTCCAGAGGATTGGGTTGCTAAGCAACCATTCCAAGTTCTTGGGTTGCCTTGGCAACACAGGCAGTGCTGCTACATAACCTGTTCTGACCTGCTTGAACAGAATTCGGGGTTGGGATATCCCTGTATCAACCCTGTTACTTAGAAGATCTGCCACAGCCAACCCTGGAGAGGAAAGAGCCCTGGTTGGGGTACTGCTCCTGCAGAGTTCGGTTCACTTTTATTCCTGGACAGGACTCAGGACTGTACCTCACGTTCACCCTGTGACTATCCTGAAGTAAAATAAAAGTTGCTTAAGCACAAGTGCTATCAGGTGGTGTCTGGGGGACCATGATCTGTCAAGAAGCTTCTTCCCATAGGTTATCTGGAGGTTTCCTGTTCTGATCAGAGTCTTCTGGTGTAGTGACCATGAGAAGCATCTAAACTGGTTGCTGGGGCACATGCTGGTAGTCTAATTACTCTAGAGGTTGGGGCAGGGGACTCACCAACCTGGACAACATAGCAAGACTGTGGTGGAGCTTGGAAGGCTGAGTTACAGCAATGTGAATTCAAATTCAGCCTCAGCTACATAATGAAACCCTGTCTCAGTGAGAGGTTCTGGCTTCTCATAATCTGGAAGGTTGCATTCATGACAGTTTTAACCCAACAGAACCCTGGGATAACTGGGAATCCACACTGCCCTTGGCTTCAAATCTGGCTGCTCCCTTCATGTGTGTCTCTATGTGCTTCAGACACCTGCAAGTAACCTCAACAAGTATATAAACACTATAAAGTACAAAAGTTCTGTATTAACTGTGAACTGCTGTGCCCATTGTGCTTTAGCAGTGTCCCCTGATCCAGCTTGTGACAGGGTATTGTTCATTGGAGAAGAGAGGCAGGTGGAGTAACCTGGCCAAGATCTGCACACAACCCCATGCTTTTCCCTACAGATCCTGGCAGCAGCTCTGACTGAGTGTCACCGCAAGTCCAGTGCCCAAGGCAAGCCCTTGGCCCTGAAGGTGTTTGTGGCTGGCAGAAACCGCCTGGAGAATGATGGAGCCACTGCATTGGCAGATGCTTTTGGGGTGAGTCATTTCTTTTTACCCTGCTGAGCCAGACACAGTCATGACAGGTTGATAAGCCACTGTTTGTTATGTTCAGTTGAGAAGGGGGTATGTCTCTGTAGCCCAGGCTGACTTGGAACTCTGTATGTAAACCAACCAGGCTTGCCTCAAATTTACAGAGATTTGCCTGCTTCTGCCTCTGAGTGCTGGGACTAAAGGTGTGCACCACCATACCTGGTTTATTTTTCAAATGTGATTATTGTGGATGTGTATGGTCCCTGTGCCATAGTATGAATGAGGAGGTCAGAGGGTGACTTGTCAGAGCTGGTTCTCATCTACTACATGAGTTCCAGAGGTTGAACTCAAGTCCCGGGCTCACACAAGTGTGTCTATCCACTGCACCATCTCACTGACCCCTGCAGCACTCTCTACCAACTTTGCCCTGTGTTCTAGGACACTGTAGGTCCTGGTGGTAAACGCTATGAGGACTGAATCTGCCCTAACCAGTCACAGTGGAAACTTGGGTCTCCATTCCCTTCTGTTTCCAACAGACAAAATTTACCAGAACTAACCACACTGCCAGAGCAGCAGCTCTGATGGCCCTGCCTATGTGTGACCAGTAAGGACTTCTCATCCATCCTTGGTGGGAGTGGCCCTTACAAGGAGTTCTGGGCTGGAGGGGAACTATTGACTATCCTCAGATAGACCCTTCCAATGGCCTGTAGCCATCAGTCCTCGGATCTGCTTAGAATGGGGTTCTTGCTCCATCCATGGTATTAAAATGTAGATGGAAAACGTGTTAGTTCTAATGTAGGTAACTTGTACCTTTTTGTTGTTTTGGTTTGGTTTTCTCTCTCTCTCTGTGTGTCTGTGTGTGTGTGTGTAGGACAAACTCAGGTGTCATCCTCAAGTATGTTCAAGTATGCTGTCCAGCTCCTGGGGCAGGGTCTCATTGGCTCAAGCTCAGTAATTAGACTAAGACACCTTTATTTCTGTGGGGGTCTTCTCCTTCAGAGCTCTGTGAGCCTTGCCAGTCCTTGGCATCTCTGACTCCTTATCATCTCCCTGGATCTGATGTGGTCTTATGTAGCATGTCCAAAAGTTTGCTTTGAGATCTGTGCCCTGGAAACTCAGCCCTCACCTGATACTGGTGACAGCACCTCCTTTACCTTTCTCCCACGGCATGTCACTATAGCTCCAGGCCACACTGGCAACTCTCTTCTGCCCTGCAGATCATCGGAACTTTGGAAGAGGTCCACATGCCACAGAATGGAATTAACCACCCTGGTGTCACAGCTCTAGCCCAGGCATTCTCCATCAACCCCCTGTTGCGAGTCATCAACCTAAATGACAATACCTTCACTGAGAAGGGTGCAGTGGCCATGGCCCAGGTGAGGCGGGTGTGGCCACGAGGGCCACGGGAGGCTCACTGACAAGCATGGCTCTGCCCCTCTCTTTCTGCCCTTCCGTGTTCAGTACCCCACAGTCCTGCCCATTTGCACAGCACCAGTTATTTGTTACAAGTCCCTGTTGTATGCTGCCGAGTGACCTGGGTCCTCAGTAGCAGTTGTTGGTTTTGTTCAAGCTGCAAAGGAAGAAGCTGCCGTGTGTGGCTCCATCAATTTCCTTGTTGTGCTTGCATGTTGAGCCCTTATCTGTGCCCAGTTTGTGCTGGGAGAAGCTTTGGCCTGCAAGATCCCTACTCCAGAGAGACCCTTGTACAAGCAGGAAAGGAACTGCTTGCTGACCAGCTTTGTATAGGCTCTGAGCTCAGTGGCAGCCACCTCAGAGCTATGACCTCTGGGTGGGTGGGACTCAGGGAAGATGAGTTATAAATGTCACAAATGCAGGTGTTAGCATCAGACGGAAGGGCAAATTGGACTTCAGGCTTGAAGCTGGCTTTTTTGGGCTAAAGATAAAGATGGTCAGCTGACAGTGGGGGTGGGTGGTTCAGGCACAGTGATCAGCAGAATGTGAGGTCTACAGACTAACGGGAACCTTCCAAAGCTGGTTCTAATTTGAAATGACTGAGGCTTGAGGGGTGTTGGAGGGAGTGACGAAGGGAAAAGAGGGGTGTGTGGCCATCTGTAAGTAGTAGGGAGCATGGCGGGCTTTAAGACCTGATGGGGTGTGATTAGATTTGATTCATGCTTTGGGAAGAAATCTGTCCATAACACGGGGAGCAGTGCAGTTGAGGTTTAGTCAGGACCTCAGACATCAATTGGCTGTGATAAAAAGAACTGGCGAGGTGGTCAGGCTGGTGTATGGCTGATAGCATCACTTTTGACCCTTGCTTCCTCTTCTCAGACCCTGAAGACCTTGCGGCAAGTGGAGGTGATAAACTTTGGAGACTGCCTTGTGCGCTCTAAGGGGGCCATTGCCATCTCAGATGCTGTCCGTGGGGGCCTGCCCAAGCTGAAGGTGCTAATTCTTCCCCCTGCCCTCTTCCGTTCAGGGTCCAGGCTGCCCCATGCTCAGGGGCTCCCATCTAGAGTGGTAGATGAGGCATAAGAGTGTGGTGTGAAGCGGGGTGGGCCTGGGTCAGGTCTCAGCCTTCTTCCTTTTCTGTAAACACCTCATAAACACTGGGCTCACAGCATTGTTTTTATTATTTTTTCACACCTCTATCCCCAAACTGGGGAGCCAAGCCTGCTTCCATTACTCACTGGGAAAGCTGGCAATAGTAGGCCTTGTCTCCTGACCCAGTTTGGCGTGTCTCTCTATTCCTTCCTCTTGCTATCAGGAGCTGAACCTGTCCTTTTGTGAAATCAAGAGAGATGCTGCCCTGGTTGTTGCCGAGGCTGTGGCTGACAAGGCTGAGCTGGAAAAGCTGGACCTCAATGGTAAGTAGGCTTTCGGGTTTGGGGGTTCAGCCCTGGTCACCTGGCCCCAGGACTGTCCTCCCTGACCTTTTTTCTTCCTGGATCAGGCAATGCCCTGGGAGAAGAAGGCTGTGAACAACTTCAGGAGGTGCTGGACAGCTTCAATATGGCCAAGGTTCTGGCATCCCTCAGGTAGGGAACTCTGGGAAGGTGGCTCCAGAGGCAGGATCAGGCCTGCTCTTCCTTTACTTCCTCTCTCGCTATCTGCTGGTCTGGTAGCTGGCACCTTGTGCTAGGTGTTGGAGCGAAAAGGATGGAGAACTTTTTTGTGTTTTCAGTAAGGACCATTGGGGTTAGGCAGGGCCCCCTTACAGACCTGCATGTTGAGAGGCCCCTGAGGGGCTGCTGTCCCTTCTTTGCTTTTTTTAATCTTTGCCTTTACATGTGTCTCCTTCACGTGTGTTCCTGGTCCTTGTGGAGCTAAGAAGAAGGTATCAAATCGCCTAGAACAGGAGTTACAGGCAGCTGTGAGCCACTATTGCTGGGAATTAAACTCTGTTATTCTGCAAGAACAGCCATTGCTCTTAACCACTCAATTATCCCCCCGGTACACCCCCCCTCGTGTTTTTTTTTTTTTTTTTTTTTTTTTTCTTTTTAATATTTTTTTATTTATGTGCTTTGGTGTTTTGCCTGCATGTGTGTCTGTAGGAGTTGCAATTATAGACTGTGGTGAACTGCTTATGTGGGTGCTGGGAATTGAACCCAGGTCCTTTGGGAAAAGCAGCCAGTGCTCTTAACCGCTGAGCCATCTCTCCAGAACTTTTTTTTTTTTTTTTTTTTTTGAGATAGGGTTTTACTATATGACCCTAGCTGGTCTATAACTGAAGAGACCAACCCTTGGAAGGCTCTGCCATCACTCCTAGCAGATATGTTGGCAGAAGCAGCCAGTGGAGGACCTGATGGGGATGGCTCACTTCTCGGTGACAGATAGGAATGGAAGAAGTTGAAACAAGAGGGAGATGCTGAGGTGGGCAGCAGTGGGAGGTCAGTTCTGCAACACTCACTCCTCTGCCTCTGTCACCCCAGAGGGCTTCACTCATGTGTTCTCGGGGCTGGGGGACTCAAGTGTAGGCCAAATCTCCAGAGCTTCAGGGTCCAGGAGGACTAGAATGTCATCGCTCCATAGCCTTCCATGTTCACATGAGGTGCAGGTGGCACTACCCTGGGTGTCCCAGCTTGGGCAGAGCCTGACAGGCTCCTTTATCTGCTTCCATGTGGAACTTGAGGCTCCTTTGGGACAGGCCATTTCTGAGTATTCTGTGTCTGTGGCCTGGGAAGCATCCCTGGGGAATGAAAAACAGATGACACTATGGTGACTCTTGAGCGCCATCTTTTGAGCAGGGCCCCTGGGCCTGGCCAGAATCCATAGGCTCACAGAGTCAGCATGTGCTGTTGGGCTTTAGCTGGCTTCTCCCTGCAGTGATGATGAGGGAGACGATGAGGAGGAGGAAGATGAGGAGGGAGAGGAGGAGGATGAAGAGGAGGAGGACGAGGAGGAGGAGGAGGATGATGAAGAGGAAGAGCCACAGCAGCGAGGGCAAGGAGAAGAGTCAGCTACACCCTCACGAAAGATTCTGGACCCTAACAGTGGGGTGAGTTTGTTGTCATTTGCTGAGATCAGAGTCCTGGGTCCCTGGAAGCTTGGGGGAGGGGGAGGGCGGGGAGGTGATGTAGCTATTTAAGTCTAATAGCTACAAGGACCAAATGGCTAGCATGGTTCTCAGAAAATCATTCCTAGAGAGAGCGCTTTTTGTATGTATTTGAGTGTTTTGCCAGAATGTAAGTAAGTGCACATGTGTGCTTGTGTTTAAACAAACCCCAGCAAAACTTAAGCATAGCTGGACATGACTCATGCCTGTAATCCCAGCATATAGAAGGATGGTGGAGGAGGGTTGCTAGAAAGTTGGGGGCTACACAGTACAAAAAGTCTTCTCTCCTCCCCGCAGTGGGTTATCTTGGTGTTTCCTGTAATGAATCTTTCTCTGACAGCCAGCTCCCAAATAATGACACGGAGATCTATTAATTATGAAAGCTTGGCCTTAGCTTGGGCTTGTTTTTTTTTTTTTTTTTTTTTTTTTGTTGCTGTTGTTTGGTTTTTACTTTAGTTTTGTTTTTTGAGATAGTGTTTTCTCTGTATTGCTTTGGAGCCTGTCCTGGAACTCACTCTGTAGACCAGGCTGGCCTCGAATTCACAGAGATCCGCCTGCCTCTGCTTCCCGAGTGCCGGGATTAAAGGTGTTCGCCACCAACACCCGGCCTTCTTAGGCTTGTTTTTAACTAGCTTTTATAACTTACATTTAAACATTCATTTCTATTAAAATGTTCAGCCATCCTGCTTCTCTGTGTTATCTACTGGGGTCTCTTTGTACCCAGATTCATCTCTTCCTTTCTCTCTCCAAAAATCCCACCTATACCTCCTGCCTAGCTATTGGCTGTTCAACTTTATTACATCAATCATAGCAAATATACCTTCACAAGGTGTACAGATATCCTGCAACAAGTGCCTAGGGGCAGTCTAGAGACCAGGACTGGGGTCAAGAGAGACTTGACTTTTTGGCCTGAGCCCACTGGCAATTTGTTCATCTGTGTCTCATAGGTTCCAAAATAGAACTTCCAGAGAGTCTGGGTGGAGCCATCAGGCTGTCCACACCCCTGTAGAACAGGGCTGCTTTTCTGGGCTCTGGGAGCAGTTAACAGCAAATGTGCCTCTCAGGGTTGGGTTTCTCTGGGCACCTGATACTTGCTGGCAGCACTGACCCATGCACTGGTCTTGTTTGCATGGCAAAGCTCCACTTGGAGTGCTATGGTGATGGTATCTTGTCCCTTATCCCAAAGGCTTCAGCAACACCTGGGGTCAGCACCCTTAGAACCCATATGCTTGGGAACCTGAGTGAGAGTTGATTCTAGGCCTAGACTCTGGCCTAACTGGAATAACTGTGATACTGGATTGGGAATGGGCACAACCGGGTGGAGGAATCGAGAGTTTGGAATCTACAGAGCCCCTGTGTCACCTGTTCCTCAGGAGCCAGCTCCCGTGCTGTCCTCCCCGCCTCCCACAGACCTCTCCACCTTCCTGTCATTCCCCTCCCCAGAGAAGCTGCTGCGTCTTGGGCCCAAGGTCTCTGTGCTGCTAGTCCAGCAGGTAAGAGCACTCCCAGCTCCAAGGCTTCCACACACCACAGGAAGGACAACCCTGGTCAGTGAGCTATGGGGTCTGTCACAAGCATCCCTGCCATGTCCCAGCAGAAAGTGGAGCTAGGGAATTTGAATATTTTTTCCGGGCTCACACTTGTTTTCCATGGACTTCTGATTGTCTAGCTGTTTCTAAAGCAGTTCCCCTTTCCAGAACTTCTATGCAGCCCAGGTGCCACCAGCCTTATGCAATGGTCACTCATTCAAGGAGGAGCAACCCCTTAACATTGTACTTCTCTATGCCAACTGAAGAAGTGACCACAGATGTCCTCATAGTTGTAAAAAGCATTACATTTTGTCAGACAGCCTTGGGAGGCAGGTGGGTTTCTGTGAGTGCAAAGACAGTTGGAGATACATAGTGAGACCCTGTCAATAAATTTTTTTAAAAAAGCATTTTATTGTGTATGTATGTAGAGGTCAGAGGACACCTTGCAGAAGCTGGCGCTCTCCTATCGAAGGGTCAGACTCAGGTTCTCAGGCATGGTGGCCAGTTCCCTTATCTTCTGGGTTGTCTTACAACCTCCATTCTTACAGTATGCATGAGAAGCTTAGAGCTCAGTTGACAGCAGCCAAAAAAACTTATCTGTGATGTTATTTTCATGACACTATAAGGTATGTTTTCATCTCATGCTATTCTGCATTTTCTTGGCTCAGAAAAGTTCTCAGGCGCTTCCAGTGAGTGGATCTAACACTTGAAACTGAACCACTATTTTTGGAAATTGGCTTTTTTTTCTACATTTCTTCATTGTTGACAAAAGAGAGCCAGCCTTCCTGTGTGTGAATGTTGGCTCCCTCTTGCTGATTTCTAGTGTTAGATTATGATGGTGGCCATTCCATTCTCGTGTTACAGTAAGATGGCAGCCTTTCCCTGGGGATAAGGGCTAGGTTTTTAACCACACTCTAGGAAATAATCTGGGACAAGTTAGCTCCTTGCTCCCCAAGTCTCTAGTGTGGTCAGGTCTTTTGCAGTACTTTCCACAGAATCAGAGCCAAGGGGCTGTGACCCCTAACCAGCCATTTTCTCTGTCCTCAGACGGATACCTCTGACCCTGAGAAAGTTGTCTCAGCCTTCCTGAAGGTGGCGTCTGTGTTCAGGGATGAAGCCTCAGTGAAGACAGCAGTGCTGGATGCCGTCGGTAATGTGAGCTGGGTGGGGCTGCTAGACCCAGATGTTTTCCCATGTTCTGCACGTGGGGGAACTTTCCACAGCCATGTGTGTATGTAGTTAGAACTTAGGCCAAGCAGGGTCAGGCCAAGATAGTCAATCTGCAAGGCCCCATGAGCTATGCTACTCTGTCAGAAAAACATTTGTGCCCTGTGGGAGTGCACTTGTCACCTTACTGGTTACATCCATTAGAACCTCCAGGTGTGTCTCCAGGTGTGTCAGATTTGGTCAGGGAAGGGCTACAAAAAGGGAGCAGAAACATGCCTCTTCTCAGGCTGTGCTGTGCTGGAGTGGCGGGGGGGGGGGGGGGCTAGGGAGAAAGCAGCTCCATGGCTCAAGATGCAAGAGGCCGAAAATTTTTTTTCCCCCCGAGACAGGGTTTCTCTGTTGTAGCTTTGGAAGCTGTCCTGGAACTCGCTCTGTAGATCAGGCTGGCCTAGAACTCACAGAGATCCGCCTGCTTCTGCCTCCTGAGTGCTGGGACTAAAGGCGTGCGCCACCGATGACCAGCTGAGGCTTAAATTCTTTTGCACAGCCCCATCTAGTCTCCTTTTCTCACCTAATATCTAAAAACTTCCCTGATGGTTTCCATAGCCCTTGGCCCCATGTTCAAGGTAGACAGAATGGGTGCTGTCACCACACCCATTTTATAAGAGGCCAAGTGGAAAGAAAATGCATTCCAGCTGGTAAATTGAGCCTTCTGATGGTTCTGGTATCTCCACCATCAACTCTACCTGTCTACCTGTTGTCCCTCCCATGTGCACCTCTTGACAGGGTAGAGCTTAGGGCCTCTGGCTACCCTTGACTTCTGCCTAACCCACACCTGCTGCCTGCATCCTGCCCCTGCAGATGCCCTCATGAAGAAGGCCTTCAGCTCCTCGTCTTTCAATTCCAACACCTTCCTCACCAGGCTGCTCATCCACATGGGCCTGCTCAAGGTGAGGCTTTGAGGAGTGGCAGGCTTGGAAAAGGCAGCTTCCCCTGTCACTCCCAGTGAGTCCCTGAGGTAGCAAGCGGGTCTCACAAGTGACTGGAGCTCACCCACTTTTATTTGCAGAGTGAAGACAAGATCAAGGCCATCCCCAGCCTGTATGGCCCCCTGATGGTGCTGAACCACATGGTGCAGCAGGATTACTTCCCCAAGACCCTTGTACCCTTGCTGTTGGCATTTGTGACAAAGTGAGTGTGGCCTTTGTTCTTGCCTATGCTAAGGCTTCTTGACTGGGCCAGAAGTCCCACAAGTCCCTGTGTCCCAGTCCAGACCCTCTCTCTGTAAAGGCCAAATTTACTAACATTGTCCTTGTAGAGTCTGGCATATAACCTGCTCCACCCATCCCGCCCATCCATCCGCCCCATCCTCCACCCCTCCCAGTTGGGAAACAGACCTTTCTGGACAGGGAGCTCCCAGGACCCTGAGATATCTATGCCACTCACTGTTCTCCACAGGCCCAATGGTGCACTGGAATCCTGCCCCTTTGCCCGCCACAATCTGCTGCAGACACTATACAAGATCTAGGCTTAAAGTCAGCTTCTTCTTGTCCCTCACCCTGCACCAGTGACTAAGGGGACTTGGATGGACTAAGCTCAGCCAATGTCTCCATTGGATAGGACTTTGACCAGAGGCAGGGGAGGGTCTTTGTCTCGTGTGTCCTGTTGGTTCCGAGTATGTACGTGTGTCGGTGTGGTATGTGTAGGTATGTACTTCCTGTCTGGATTGCAGATGGTCATCTCTCCTTGCTGGACTAACCTAGGTCCACTGTGGGGGATTGATGCCCAGGGAAAGGGGCTGAAAGCTGCTGTTATTAAACTTACTGCCAACTTAGCCATAGGCTCTGTTGGCTGTCCTGCCTACCCTGCCTTTCTGTCCCACCAAAGCCTGGGGAGCTACTGTGGCCTGCTGTCTCCACCATGCCTAAGGAACTGTCAGGTGGGGCTGTCATTCAAAAGTGAAACTCCAGTCTCAGCCCAAAAGAGGAGCCAGGGGCCAACCCTAAATAGCCCAGGAGTGGGAACTGCCTGGGGTGCCCTGCCTCTTGTACCCAGAGGAAGCACTTTGGCTGGCCCAGACCTGTTCTTCATCCTGGGGAGGGGAGGGCAGGTCCCCTAATGCCTAAGCCACATGTTGGGCTGCTTGCTCTTCAGGGGTTTTCTGTGGCAGGAGAGAACCTGTGTAGTGGGGATTGAGCTGGGTAGGAGATGCCTTGTGACTTCCCTTAGTGGCTGTATGGCCACCTCCTGCTTTCCTTGTATTGTGTATCTAGGCTGTGCCTGGGAGCTTCACAAATAAAAGTCACCTGTGGTAGCTGCAGAGACCCAGAAGCTTTTTTTATCAAAAGTGGGGATATCTTGAGACTGGGGTAGTGGTTTAATGATTAAGACAACTTTCTGTGCAAACATAAGGACCTGGGCTCAGATCTCCAAGACCCCTGTAAAAATCTGAGTAGGTCCATGTACATGCACATACACACAGAGAAAGTGCAGCATGAGGGGCCTTAGTGAGGTGGTCCAGCTCATCAGAGTGGAGGTCTGTGTCTTGCTGTGAGTCCTGCTGCTAAATGATGCTTCTACCTTTTTGCACTGGAGATTTCACAGTAGCGGCCCAAGATGTAGACTGTGGGCAGGGAGGAGGAAAACCTTTGAGTACTAAGGATTCCTGAAAGCTCTCTTGAGGTTCAGATGGAAAGCAAGGAGGGTGGCATGTGACAGAAGATGGCCTGCTTACCTTGTAGTAGTTGACATGAGGCTGGCTGACTTTCCCAGGAAATATATATAAAACCTTTACCTCAGACAAAAGCTCATCTCACCTCACATCAGGCCATCAGTACCCTCCTGCTGTTGCCTAGTGCTCAACTTAAACATTGTCATGTTTCTGGGCTTGAAGAGGTGGCTCAGCAGTTGAGTACACTTGCTGTTCTGGGTGAGCCACAGTTCAGATCCCAGCACCCACGTTGCAGCTTTCAACTATCCCTAACTCCAACTCCAGGAAGTTGAATCCCAGGCTTTTGTGAACCTCCATGTGTGTTCCGCCGGAGCAATTAACTTTTGTTGTTTGTTTGTTTTTTTTTTTTTTTGTTTTGTTTTTTGTTTTTTGTTTTTTGTTTTTTTTTGCAGACAGGTTTTTATCTATGTGGCACTAGTTGTCCTGAACTCAACTGTAGATCAGGCTCACCTTGAACTCAGATCTGCCTGCCTGTCTCCCCAGTGCTGGGATTAAAGGTGTGTGCCACTACCACCTGGGTGCAATAAATATTTTTAACTACTGAATTTGTGTTAGACATTTATATGATCTGGGACAGGTTTCTCTGTCTAATTGCCCTGGCGGTCCTGGAACTTGCTCTGTAGTTCAGAGCTGGCCTTGAACTCGCAGAAACATGCCTGTCTTTGCCTCCTGAGTGCTGGGGTTGATTAAAGGCATGTACCACCACTGCCCAGCTGACATTCCTATTGTTAAACAGCAGGTTTGAATTATATTTTTATTTTATGTGCATTAGTGTTTTGCCTGCGTGTATGTCTCTATGAGGATGTCCCCTAGAAGTATAGTTGTAAGCCACCAGGAATTCTGGAAGAACAGTCAGTGCTCTTAACCCCTGAACCATCTCTCAGCCCCCTAAAAATAAATCTTTAAAAGTAAAAGATTGGTCAGCAAGATGTCGCTGCAGGTAAAGATGGTTGCTGCCAAACCTAATGTCTAGAGTTACATATAGAAAGAGTTGACTCCCCGAGGTTATCTTCTAACCTCTTCGAGTGCTATGGTACCTTTGCACCTCCACACACAAAGTTTGAAAAACACATTAGCATTTTAATACACAGACATTGAAGAGCTGCTTAGGTGGTCCAACAGATAAAGACATCTCCAAGCCTGAATTCAATGCCTAAGGCCCATGTAGTGGGAGGAGAAGACTTGTTCCTTCTGATCTCTACACACCCCAAAACATTTTTAAAATTAAAAGATGATCCAGGCCAGGTGATGATGCATGTCTTTAATCTCAGGACACAGAAGCAGACATGTTCTGAGTTCAGGGCCAGCCTGGTCCATAGAGCAGGTTCGAGGACAGCCAGAGTTGCAGAGAAACCCTGTTCAAAAAACCAAGGGAACAAAAATGCCATTTTGTTAGTGTTTGCCTAATACACATGAAGCCTTGGCACAAAGTGTCATATTGCCACTTGATTGTAATCCCAGCATTTTAACGCGGGGAGTGGAGATGGAGGAGATCATAAGTTAAAGGCTTCTCTCATATTGTTCATGGTAAGCCTGAGCTACACAAGACCCTATCTCAAACAACTCAAAAATAAAAGTTGAGAGGGTTGTATAACCATAACCAAAATATGGCTTATCACTGAGACTTGAGGTAATTCTAAATATTCTGACACTTAGGAAGCTGTGGCAGGAGGACTGAAAATAGGGAGCCAATGCTAGAGAGGTTAAGAGCACTGGCTGCTGTTCCAGTGGTCCTGCGTTCAATTCCCAGCAACCACATGGTGGACCACAACCATCTGTAATGAGATCTGGGCCTTCTGGTCTGCAGGTGTATGTGCATGCAGAACACTGTATACATAATAATAAATCTAAAAAAAGTTTACTGGTGATAATGAACTCAATTCCATGAGTATAATAAAGCACACATAAATCTCCCCCTGCCTCCCAGGAACACAATCTAGTAAAGATCAGACTCTATGGAAACTTTGTAAAGGACATGGGACACCTTCTATAAAGATAGGATCTAGAGATTGACTAAAGAAAACAAGTCCGTTATAAGGGTCTGGGGGAGGATCCCGTGTGATCAGAGCCACACAGATAGTAAATAGTGTAAAGGCCACCAGGCTATTAACCACATCAGCTCCCATCCTTATGGGTGAATAATAGGTTATGAATCCCCTTCCCTTGAAGGGACAACCTGTGTGTATAATGTTCCAGGTTCCTCTAGTGATTACCTGTGAGTATAAAACTTCTGTTCCTCCTATAGCTCCAAAACTAAAATCATGATTGGGCAGCTAGAGAGATGGCTCAGTGGTTAAGAATATATACTGCAGCTAGACCGTAGTAACACACACGCCTTTAATCCCAGCACTCAGGAAGCAGGGGCAGGCAGATCTCTGAGTTCGAGGCCAGCCTGGTCTACAGAGCAAGTTCTAGGACAGGCTCCAAAGCTACATAGAAACCCTGTCCCGAACAAAATGTAAGTTGGCAAAAGAAGAAACAACTATGCATAAGTTAGTCAAACTCAGTGGTGGCACACACCTGCTCACCTAGCACTTTGGAGGCTGGAGCCAGGGGTAGTCTTAGGTGCACAGCAAGTGTGAATCCCGCCAGGGAGCGTTACACAGTACCCTGTCTCAAAAAGCCAAGCAAACTGAAAAATGAAACAAACATGGGTCCTAAAGATCTAAGGTACACAAGTGTTTGCTAGGATCTAGATGTGCTGCAGACCCTCTAAGAAAGGGTTTCTCTGTGAAACAGTCCTGACTCTCTTGGAACTCACTTTATAGACTCAGGGATAGGCAGGTGGCTTGAGAGCACAGGCTGCTTTTGTAGAGGACCTGGGTTCAGCTCCCAACAAACACATGGAGGTTGACAAATTTTTGAAACTCCGCTTTCAGGGGATTTGTGCCTGTGCTCTCTTCTGGCCTTGGTGGGGGCCAGGCTTGCATACAGTGCACTGCACACACACACACACAAACTAAGCACAAACATAAAAAGTAAAAAAATGGAAAAAACTCAAAATATCTCAGATGGACCACTAAGTCTGGTTCTTGGGGTTGAGACAGTCTTGCTATGTAGTTCACACAGGCCTGGAAGTTACTGTGGCTCAGCCTCCTGAGCGCTGGAATTATATATAATACAGTGCCATATAACAGTTTTAAAAACTATGGATATGACTCTAGGCATCAATTTAGGTAATCCTGAGTAACCTGCTGCTAAAGTGAAAAGGATACAGCATTATCCTGTATGGGCAGGGCTGAAAGGAAGGAGTCAAGGGTTCTGAGAGCACCTACCTGGGTTCCAGGTTCCTACCTAACTCCTCTAGCTAGTTTCTAACTTCCAGCTGCTAAGCTCTCCCTAGGGTCCCACAGTCTGCAGAGTCCAAGGATGCGGGCCCACAGACAGGCTCCTCCAGGCCACCATCCACCCCGACCAGTCCAAGGACTCCAGCTCCAACCATGTTGTTAAGCCTGTGCTGGACAGGCAGCCTGTAACTCCAGCCACTGCTCCCACCCCCTGCCCACAGCCTGGGGACGCCCCAGCTCAGCCAGGCTGCCAACAGACAATGCTTCCCATTCAGCTCTGTCCCTGCTGCCAAGCCTATGGGCAAGTGAGGGGGGAGTGCCGGCGCCCGGCCGGGGGCTGTCCCTGGTCTTTCCCTTGCACAGGGCCTCCAGACAGTTCCAGACATCATGGAGGGGTGAGTTTTGGGGCCCTGGGGGTGCAAGGCCACAAATGATTCTTTTTTTTTTTTTTTTTTTTTTTTTTTTTGCCTCTGAGAAGCTGGCTGTAAAGGCCACAGATCCTTCCTCCTTGTACCTGAGGTTCTCCAGAGGTGGTTCCTAAAGAAAAAAAGGAGATGTAGTTGTTCCTGTGGGGTTGGTCTTTTGGGGTCCATGTGAGAGGAGATCTATGGCAGCCTTCTCTATGTCCTAGACCTTTGTCCCTTCAGGAATCAGTCTAATGGGCCCAACTCCTATCCTAGCTCGCAAGCCAGAGTCTAGAGAAAGCCACTAGCACCAAAAAAAGGGTGAATTCTGGGACTAAAAGGAGACAAAGACAGACAGTAATATTCCTGGGAGTAGTTATGGGAGGCCTATGGGGTGAGGTTTCAGCCCAGCATCAGGGAAGACAGCTCAAAATTCACACATGACCCAAGTATATAGAAAGGAGGGGCTGAGAGAAATTAGCTGATGCTGGGCCTGTGCAGTGGTGACAAAGCCGTGTGAGGTGTGTGATGGAGAATGTATATATTCTTCCTAAAGAATCAGGACTTTCTGCTAAAGGTGACAACCAGGTGGTGGGAGGTTTCCGTTGGGGTATCAGGAGCCTATCTGTATTCTGGAAAATTCCCTTTGGCTGCTAGGTGGAGCACAGGAGAGGCCAGGAAAGCCACAGTGGTATCAATCATCCCTAAGATGGGCAGTGGCTGTGGTTGTGAGCTGGAGGGGTGGAAAGCTAGGCAGGTACATCAATAAATGGGTGGTCAAGGGAGATACATCTTGCCTGGTGCAGTCTAAACTCCAGATCCTCTGGTCCCCTGTATCAGGCCAGTCAGCTGTGTGGTACTTGGGTAACAAGAGGACAAAAGGGAGTCAAGAGGCCTGAGCTGCCTGCTTACCATGACAACATGTCTCTAACCAGAAGACAGACTTACTCTGGAACCTCAGGCCCTTCCAATATCTGGACCTCCCAGTTGAGCCTAAGCCCTGGGCCAGGCCTCCTGCTGCCAAAGTGTCTTCTCAAGTCCAGAGTCAGGTCTCAGAGGGTTGATTTCTTGCATCTTAGTTTCCCCCCTCAGTAAATCAAAGCTGTTAACAGAAGCTGCCCCCATACGAGGTGAGGGAAGGGGGCCAAGCCATGGCACTTTGCTGTACCCAGAGAAGAAAGGCCTGGAGGAGTCCTGGTTGTCCTGTATTGGGGTCCCGTGCCCAGCAGCTCTCCCTCTCCCCCCAGGCCCCAGGTCTCCACCTCTGTCTTCGTGCTGCTTTTGGTGTTGCCACTGGGTCCATCGTGGCAGGTGGCTGCCCAGCAATGCCCACAGACCTGTGTCTGTGACAACTCCAGGCGGCATGTTACCTGCCGGCACCAGAACCTCACTGAGGTGCCGAACACCATCCCAGAGGTCAGAAGAGGGGCAACACTGGCATGGGTTAGCAGTGTGTGGGTTAGCAGTGTGGTCACCCCAGAGGTCAGAAGAGGGGTAACACTGGCATGGGTTAGCAGTGTGGTAAGAGGGGCGGGTGGCAGGGGCCAGGGCTCACCCCACTGGTTCTGTCACTGTCTGCTTTGTCAAGTTACTGCCCCTTGAGCCTGAGTACCCACATCTAAAATGGGAAGAACAACAACTAGTAACAGCCAAGTCCAATGGCGCACACCTTTAATCCCAGCACTCAGGAGGCACAGGCAGATGGATCTCAGCCTGGTCAATATAGCAAGTTCCAGGCCAGACAGAACCATGTCTCAAAACCAAACAAACCAATAACAATGTTATTTACAATCCCCTTCGTGTGACTGAGAAATCTGGGTGACAAAAAACATTGCACTGGTGACAGACAGGTCCTGGGGTGAGTTGGAGTGTGCCAGGATACTTTTTTCCGCCCTGTGCAGTTAGAATTCATGGTAGAGAAAGCCAAGAGCAGTGACAAGAATGAGAAGAACATAGTGAGGGCAGCTCGCTGGCTTAAGAGAATCCGGAGGGATGAGGGAGAAAGGTCAAGGCTCGGGTCCCTGTGTAACTCAGCCTCCCTTCCGGCTCCTGTCCTCAGCTGACCCAGAGGCTGGACCTCCAGGGCAATATGCTGAAGGTCGTCCCTCCAGCTGCCTTCCAGGACCTGCCTTACCTCACACATCTGGACCTGCAGCACTGCCAGGTGGAGCTAGTGGCCGAAGGTGCCTTTCGAGGCCTGGGCCGCCTACTCCTCCTCAACCTGGCTTCCAACCGCCTGAGCATGCTGCCCCAGGAGGCTCTGGACGGGCTAGGCTCACTGAGGCGGCTGGAGCTGGGTGGGAACATGCTGGAGGAGCTGCGGCCCGGGACCTTCGGTGCCCTTGGCTCGCTGGTCACACTCAACTTGGCCAACAACGCCTTAGTCTACCTGCCCTCCATGGCCTTCCAGGGGCTACTGCGCACTCGCTGGCTGCAACTGTCTCATAACGCGCTCAGTGTGCTGGCCCCCGAGGCCCTGGCGGGCCTACCAGCCCTGCGCCGCCTTAGTCTGCATCACAACGAGCTGCAGGCCCTGCCCGGGGCTGCCCTGTCCCAGGCCCGCAGCTTGGCTCTACTAGAGCTGGGCCACAACCCGCTCACCTACACGGGCGAGGAGGACGGCCTGGCGCTGCCCAGGCTGCGGGAGCTGGCCTTGGACCATGGGTCCCTGCAGGCGCTGGGTCCCCGGGCCTTCGCCCACTGCCCGCGCCTGCACACCCTCGACCTCCGCGGGAACCAGCTGAGCACCCTGCCCCCGCTGCAGGGCCCGGGCCAGCTGCGTCGCCTGCGGCTGCAGGGCAACCCGCTGTGGTGCGGCTGCCTCGCTCGGCCTTTGCTCGAATGGCTGGTGCGTGCTCGCGTACGCTCGGACGGCGCGTGCCGGGGGCCGCGGAGGCTACGAGGTGAGGCCCTGGATGCGCTGCGGCCTTCAGACCTGCGCTGTCCCGGAGACGCCGCGGAGGACGAGGACGAGCAGCGGGCGGCCGGTCCCCGCGCTCCTCCTCGCTCCCCGCACAAAGAGACTGAGAGGGCCACGCCCTGCCCTCCCGCCTGCGTGTGCGTCGGGGAGACGCGGCACAGCGCTTGTGACGGCCGTGGCTTGCATGCCGTGCCCCGCGGCTTCCCCAACGACACCCAGCTCCTGGACCTGAGGCGCAACCACTTCCCTTCGGTGCCCCGCGCGGCCTTCCCAGGCCTGCGCCACCTAGTGTCTCTGCACCTACAGCACTGCGGCATCGCTGAGCTGGAGCCAGGAGCCTTGAAGGGTCTGGAGCATCTGGTCTACCTCTACCTCTCTGACAACCAGCTCTCGGGCCTGAGCGCTGCAGCCCTCCAAGGGGCCCCCCACCTCGCCTACCTGTATCTGGAGCACAACCGCTTCCTGAGGGTCCCGGGGAATGCTCTGCATGCCCTCCCCAGTCTCTTCTCTCTCCACCTCCAGGACAATGCAGTGGACCGCCTGGCACCTGGTGATCTGGCGGGAGCACGGGCTTTGCGCTGCCTTTACCTGAGTGGAAATCACATCAGCCAGGTTTCAGCTGGGGCGCTGGGTCCAGCTCGGGAGCTGGAGAAGTTGCATCTTGACAGAAATCAGCTACGAGAGGTGCCCACAGGAGCCTTGGAGGGGCTACCTGCACTCACAGAGCTGCAGCTCTCAGGGAACCCATTCAGGGCTCTGCAAGATGGGGCCTTTCAGCCTGTGGGGAGGTCACTGCAGCAGCTCTTCCTGAATAACAGTGGCCTGGAGCAGGTGGGTGCTGGGTGAGGTGCAGGCAGAAAGCACAATCCTTCTGCAAGCACTTTAGACAGGGCATGAAAACCCTAAGACAAACCAAACATTTCCCTCAGGTGTGGGTGTCTGGCCAGGTGCAGCTACAGGCTTGCCAGGGGGCATGGAAGAACGAGTTTGAGCAGTTACCTGCTGTTGAGAGTTCCTTAGGGGCATGACATAACAGTGGGATTCAGGGCATTGGAGAGCACTGTCTGCTCTTCTAGAGGACTCAGGCTCAATTCCCAGCACCCACATGGCAACTCACAACTGTAATTCTAGTTCCTGGGATCTGATACCTACACACAGACATAGCACAGGCAAAACACCAATGCACATAAAATAGTCTCTTAAAAAATTAAGGGTGGGGTTCAGGCTTAACCAGAGGAAGATGGGCATTGTGTGACTTGGAATAAGATCTGGAGAGAGGCAGGAACTCCCTGCAGACCTGAGGCAGCCCACCTGGCAGGTGCTCACAACAGGGCTTGGCACTTCCTTACAGATTTCTCCCATGGCCTTCTCAGGCCTGGGAACAGGGCTCCGGAACCTGTACCTGCAGAAGAACCAACTTCAGACTCTACCTGCACTGCGGTGGCTCAGTGGGCTGGAGCTCATCGACCTCAGTGGTAATCCCTTCCATTGCAACTGCCAGCTGCTCCCACTTCACAGGTAGTCACCTCCTCCAGAATGCCCACCAGAGGTATACCAGCTGCTAGAAATCAAGTCCTGCTGTTTCCCTGGAGGTGACATGGCTACAACACTAGCTAGCTTACGTGTCTGTGAGGTTCTCCAAAGCTAAGTATGAATGCACCCTTGCCAGGTCATTGCTATTCCTTAGTACCTGGGATGGTGTTCCAGTTAGTGTCTCTGTTCCTGTGATCAACACCTTGACCAAAAAGCAACAGGAGGACTGGGCATGGTGGCACAGCCTTTAATCCCAGCACTCGAGAGGCAGAAGCAGGCGGATCTCTGTGAGATGACAGCCAGTCTGGTTTATGTAGACCAGGCCAGCCAGAGCTACATAGTGAGATACTAACTCAAAATAAACAGCCAGGCATTGGTAGCACAGGCCTTAAATCCCAGCATTTGGGAGGCAGAGGTAGATCTGAATCAGAGGCCAGCCTGATTTATAGACCAAGAAGACAGCCAGGACTAAACAGAGAAACCCTGTCTTGGAAAACCAAAAACAAACAAAAAACAGAAACAAAACAAAACAGCAACTTGGCATAGGGTCAGGAGCTCGCTCAAGTCAGGAACTGCACTGAAGCAGAGACAAAGGGAACACTAAACACTGTTCGGTTTGCTTTCTCATACAACCCAGGACCACCTACCTCAGCTGGCACTGCCTACAGTGAACTGAGTCCTCCCGCATCAATTATTTATTAAGAGAATGCACTATAGACGTGCCTACAGGCCAATCTGGTGGAGGCAATTCCCAGTTGAGGTCCCTTCTTCCTCAATGGGTCCAATTTGAGTCAAGCTGAAGAGAACTCAGTGGCACAGGTGGACTGAGCCTTGACCCCTTCATAAAGTTGAAATGTTTTCCTTGCATGGTGCACTGGGACCTAAGAAATACACATGTGCAATTGGCACAATTACCTTAAAAAGCAGTAAGAAGCTGGGTGTGGTGACCTTGCCTTTAATCCCAGCACTTGGGAAGTTGAGGCAGGAGGATTAGGAACTTGAGGTCAGCCTGGACTAAACAAAAACAAAGCCTGGGAACATAGCTCAGTTGGTAGAGTGCTTGCCTAGCATGAAGCCTGAGGTTGGTGCACATAGTGCCATCATCTGTAATCCCAGCACTCAAGGTGAGACTGGAAGATCAGAAGTTGAGGTCCACCTGGGCCATATGAGACCTGTTTTTGCTGTTTTAATAGAATAACAGGATTCTGGAGTCAAGCAAGCCTAAGGTCTAGTCAGCTCAGGATCTGGTGTTTTACTGAATGAGTCCCATGCCTCCCGTTGCTCATCTGTGAAAAGGCTGTGCAATCTAATCCACATCATCGTGGCTGCTGGAGAACTAAGTAAGCTTAGGGGATCAGAGGCTTAAAGCCACTTGAGAATGAGCCACACAGGTGGAACTCAGTAGATTGTCCTTCTTTTGTATACTGCCTCCAGGTTCCTGACCCCTCCTCATACTCCTCAGGGAATCTCTCACCCATGGGCATCTCACTTTCCTCCTCAGGTGGCTCACTGGGCTGAATCTTCTAGTGGGAGCCACTTGTGCCACCCCTCCCAGTGTCCATGGCCAGAAAGTGAAGGCTGCAGCTACTGTCTTTGAAGCTTGCCCAGGCTGGACTGCCAGGAAGGCCAAGAGCACATCAACCTCCAGGTTCAGCGCCAGAAGCCTCAACAGAAGACACTGAGGAGCAGACAAAGTCGGCCCTTTGGTGGGAGGGAGCTCTGGGTCCCAGGGCTGCTTGGTCCCTGATGCAGTGAGTGCATCCCTCTCCTCATTGGGTGCCACAACATACTTATCCCAGTTGTTTTTAATGGCTTTGACTCCACCCTTGCCATCCTGGCCTCATTTACCTGGCAGGAGAATGGAAGTTCAGATGTGTCAGTCACAGGTTGAGATGTCATTTGATGTATTCAGGTCCTTGTATTCAGGGCCATGTGAGAGGACCAATAAGCAGAACACAGGTGACTGATTGGCAAAGCCACACCTGAGTGAGCCTTGGAGAGGCAAGCCCTGAGGACTATGTGTTCTGAGGGCCACATGCTGCTAATGAGCATAGCTGGTTGTTGCCTTTGTGGTCACTACATCCATCCTTATCTTTGGGTTGTATGAAAACTCAGGGGATTTCTAGGTCCTCACTGGGCAGTTTCACCGTACTTAAACTAATAGTGACTGACTTTTTCCAAGAAAGAATTCAGGCACCTAGACTGTTAAATAAGGTTAGGTTAAGATGTTTTTGTTAACAGCTTTGCGGAGAAAAACCTGGGGAAATAATCTAAAGTTTAGGAAGGCATATATTTGAACGAGGGACTTCTTAAGGTCAGGAAAAAAGAACAAAGCAGCCCAGTTATTAGCTGACGTGCCTTTCTTGTTAGGATGGGTTGGTGGTCAAAGATGGTGATTCCAGGTGGCCATTTCTGCTCTCAGCTTCCTGATATAAAAACCTGTTGATGAAAGCCAGGCTTTGGTGGCACATGCCTTTAATCCCAGCACCCAGGAGGCAGAGACAGAGGCAGGAGGATCTCTGAGTTCGAGGCCAGCCTGGTCTACAGAGCCAGTTCCAGGACAGGCTCCAAAACAATAGAGAAACCCTATCTCAAAAATCATAAAAAAAAAAAAAAAAAAAAAAAAAATCTGTTGAGTAGAGCTGTTTTTCATATGTAAAGGTTTGGATTTCTTCTTAAAATAATGATTGGCCCTTTCTTTGTAACTGCAAAATGTAGCCTGCCAGTAAAAGAACTGAGAAAAATACCTTCTTTGCTTACACTCTGTTACAAGTTGCTTGGACATGAATGTATGTGAGTTCTTGGGACAACAAGTTTTTCACTTAGAATACATAAAATTATGTAGGGATATGGAAAACATGGGGTTTTTTACTTGTAGTCATTGTAATCATTCACTTAAAAAATAGAATATAACCACATTGTAATTTTTGTACTTCTTGAGAGATTTTGCTGGGGTATACAAGCTATACGGGAAAGACATAAAGACATAAGAGTAAGAAAATACAAGGAAAGATGTAAAAGGAAGCCATCAGGAAGTGATAGACAAGGAAGTCATCAGGGGAGCAGAAGGGAAAGAAACACCAGGGTAGAAGAGAACAGAACCAAAAAAGAATAAAGTAGAACAGGGACAAAAAGGATAATAAAGATGCAGCTTTTATCCTCAGAAAAAAAGTCTGTGTGTCTTTCTTGCCACCTCTGCATCTTGTCCCCAGTCTCTCTGACCTGCAGAAGGCTTGCCCTCTGAACTTAACTCTTAGTTGTAGCAAAGTGTCTTGATGTATCAGTGAAGGAAGGCTGAGCAGGCTGCAGGCTGCTGCAGGTTGAGTCCCTACATGTAGGAGGCCCTGATGCAGACAGGTAAGGCCGGGCGTGGAGTCCGAAGGGAGGAGATTGTGTCACAGAGGTGGCATGTACGAATAGACTCTGCAGGTTGGACTTTAGCAAGGGCCTTGTCTCATACAGATGTATTGCATACATCTGCAGACACAGCACTCTTGAGGTGAAAGGCCAGAAGTTAAGGTCAGCCTGGGCCACATGAGACCCTGTGTTTGTTGTTTTAATAGAATAACAAGAATCTGGAATCAAGCAAGCCTAAGGTCTAGTTATCCCAGGCTCTGAAGTTTCACCATGATCACTACACTCCCTTTACTCATCTGTGAAAAGAACAGGGAGTCTGAGGAGGACAGATCACGAATGAAGGCCAAACATTGACCCTTTTTCTTTTTTTCTTTTTGTCGGGGGTCTCATGCTCCAGACAGCTATAGGCATACTCGGGCCATCTTCCATCTTCCTCCCAGCATTCTCTCCTGGGGTTGATGTCTACTCCCCTGATACCACCTCATCCTTTTTTTTTTTTTTTTTTTTAAGATTTTATTTATTTATTTATTTATTTATTGTTGTTTTGTTTTGTTTTACAGGAGGGAGAGGGAACTGGGAAAGATTTTATTTTTAATTACACATTTATGTGCACATTTGTACCCATGGAAACCAGAGGCACAGGCTCCCTCTGTAGCTCAGGTTACAGATGTTTATGAGTGGGTACTGGGAATTGAACCTGCCTTTTGCCGTGGTCTTCCATCTAATTCAAACCTATTCACCCTTTGAGAAATCAGGCTGTGACAAAGGCCTCTCTCATGACAGGGTGGGCTATCTGTAGCAGGTGAGTCAGACTGAGTTCTCTCTGAACCTACCCAGTGTGTAGACTGTCACCTCAGGGACAAATCCAGTCTGGGTCCTGAGCAAAACCAGTCAGTACATCTCAGGATGATGGTGCAGAATGACCAGTGCAGAACATGGCTATCCAACACAGCACAGTCACGACAGGACACGGAGCCACGGCTAGACTGCTTCTCCAAAATGGCTAGATGACCAGTTTCAAGAGTTTCTAACTGGGGCCGGATGCACGCCCTTAACACCAGCATTCAGGAGACAGAAGCTGAATCTGGGTTTGAGGCAACCTGGTCTACATAAAAATTAAAGATCCTGTCTCCAAAAAAAAAAAAAAAAAAAAAAAAAACAAGGCCAGGTGTTGGTGGCACACACCTTTAATCCCAGCACTCAGGAGGCAGAAGCAGGCAGATCTCTCTGAGTTTGAAGCCATCCTGGTCTACAGAGTGAGTTCTGGGACAGGCTCCAAAACAATAGAGAAACTCTGTCTCGAAAAACAAAAACAAAACAAAACAAAAAACCCAAAAAAAGCAACCACACACAACAAAAAGTGTGTGACTGGGAAAAACAGAGGCTCAAACTTGATATAAAGACAGTGAGCTGAGTAGTTACATAGCTGACCCAAGAGGGAATGGAAATGTTAGGTCCAACCCAAGCTAGGTTCTCCAGAAGCATGAACTCAGGCAGGATCCCAGAGCCAAGCTATTGTCTGATCCTGTATCTGGAAGCAAGTAGCCCCTTGGGGCGCAGGTCCCTACAAGTAATCCCAACTGTTCTTTCAAGAAAAGAAGTCAGTGTTCCTGACAACCCTGAGGTCAAGGCCACTCACAAGTTACCCAAACCTGCTACCCTGGTCATTTCTCAATTACCTGCCAAAAGTGGGGGCCTGGGGCACTAGCAATGCAGGGTGCTCCAGGAGGCATGAGGCCCTTGGTCTGTTTTAGGCAGAGGTAGGTAGCTCTGTTCACACCTAGTGTCCACGAGGATGCCCACTCACAGCTGCTCCACAACTCTACCACTTGCCTGGGTAGACACAGGGGTCAGTCCAGTTTTCCAGTGTGCTGAGGGTGCAGCGTGGAGTGTGCCAGCTTAGAACTCAAGCTGCCCAGTCCTCAGGCATGGCCCGAGGGCAGAGCTGGGCCCCAGAAGACCAGGCTGTACATTCGCTGCACAGCAGTAAAACCGGGCCTCCTCTCTGCTCCATGGCCAGGACTGGCTTCAGTTAGGGTCCAGGGTGACACCAGGGAAGGCTCAATTATCCCTCTCCTGCTTGATGCTCTCAATGGGAAGAGGCAGCAGAGTACTGGGTGACTGGTCAGGCGAAGGCATGTCCTGACGCTCCTCCTTCACACACACAGCAATAACTGGCGGGAGAGAGGGCAGTGGGGGAACAGAGTGAGTGTGAGCTGTGACAGTCTGGGGGTGGGTGGGATGGCAGGCTAGGTAAGGGAGCTGGTCTCCCTGGGTGGGGGGAACCTTTGGGGGTAGTGGGGAGCCTGAGTGACCACCTTCACGTTCCTCCTCACCACCCCAGAAGCGGCAACAGGGAAGGCCCCAGACTGCAGGCACAGCCAGTGAGATGACTCGGCAGATAAGCCTGAGGCTGATGGCTGGGACTCATACAGCGAGAGAGAACCAACCCCTGTACATTGTCCTGTAATGGCCACATGTGTGCTGTGCTGCACTCCAGCAATCCCCCCAATACACAGGAATAAAAGTTTAAAAAGAAAACAGGCCCCAGACATACCCTAGCCAGAAAGACTGTGCCAGAAATCTGCACCGGCCAAACTGCCACCCACTTTAGTGAGCATGTGGGAAGTTAGAAGTGGGGGGGGGGGAGCAGGAGCCAGGACACTGGCTGGAGAGATTCTGCCCAATTCAGAGTTGCTTGGGGGTTAGGAGGCTTTCCAGTTCCAGAGATTAGGAGCTGTTTGGTGCCTGAAAATCCCCCTTAAATTCAACTCTATTCGTTTGTGCCAGGTAGAAAGAACAGCAAAGAGGCCACATCTGAGAATGGAACAGCCTGACCCTGCCTCACCCCAGCCCAGCAGCTCTTACTGTCATCAGAAACAGGCTCCGATGAGACCCCCAAAGCTTGCAGGTCATCCTCCAGTAAGGGCTTCTTGGAGCCCTGTCTGATGGGTCGAGTCTTGGCAGACGGGATCCTTTTTCCTATGAATAAAAACAAAACAAACCCAGTGTTGGTGAAGCAAGCAGTGTGTCACAGGGCATATGGATCTAGACTCCAATTCTCAATACCCCTTACTGGCAGGTGCCTGAGGTCAAAGCCGTTGTGGCTGCTAGTTTTCTTTCTTTTTTATTTGAGACAAGGTATCTCTGTGTAGCCTTGGCTGTCTTAAACTCATTCTGTAGACCAGGCTGGCCTCAAACTCAAGAGATCCTCCTGTCTCAGCCTCCAAGTGCCGAGAATAAAGGCGTGTGCCACAACTGCCTGGATAGATTTCTTTTCTGATGTTTGATTTAATTGTAAAAGGGCACAATCGGGTCCCTATTTAAACAGCATAGTTTCAATCTAGATGTCACTCCTACCCAGGGACCTAGTCCCTGCTTTGACTTTGTCTCCCTGCAGACAGACCTTCCTCTTTTCCCTCTGCCTGGCGACATTTGTGGAATCACCTTTTACAGCCTATAGTTTAGGATGGCTTTGTTACCTGTCCTTCTCTGTCCCCTCCTCTTGCAGCCTCATCATGATCTACGAAGGGTGGCTCCCTACAGCCAGGTGGAGACTGTCCCACTCAGCTGCTCCAGGATGTGAGGGAAGAGCATTAGGGGCCAGGGCTCCTTTCTCTGTGTCTTTCCTCAGAACCCAAGAGTGACAGGTGCCTTGGGCAGCAGCAGGGACAGGAACCCCCCTTTTATTCTTCCCCTCCATCCCTCCCTCAAATCTCAGCCTGTTTCCTCAGTACACTCCATCCCTGTACGTGCTCAAATCCCCTAAGGCACAGGGTTCCCTGGGGCAAGTCCCAGGAAGAGGGAAGGCTGGGCCACAGAGGGGCCTACGCATGGCAGTACCCAGAAATCAGTGCTTGGTGCGGTGGGGCTTCACTTACTTTTCTTCCCAAACTGTTTCTTTTTCTTCTTTGTAGCCTCTTTGCCCTTCAGAGGTGTGTTTGGTTCTAATGTTTGATAGAACAAAAGAGATGAGAAGAGAGTTTTGGAAGGACACAGGACACTTCCTAAAAGACCCTTGGCCCTCATATATGGGTACCCAAACAGAGAAGCTAGAGTTGAGCATGGAGAACAAGGTGGGGGAGGGTCTGGACACACAAGGGCCCGACCTATGACACAGTGAGCAAGATGAAGAAAGGTGTTCTGCAGGCCGGGAGAGGGGGATACAGAGGTCAGGAGGGGGTAAGAGACAGAGCACGCACTGTGCTCACAAGAATGGTTCTCAGTCCGTAGGTTGCCACCCCTGTGGGTGTTGAATGGCCCTTTCACAGGGGTTGCCTAAGACCACCAGAAAACAGATGTTTACATTATAATTTATAACAGCAAAATTAGAGTTAAGTAGTAAGAAAAATATTTTTTTTTGGTTGGGGGTCACCACATGAGGACCTGTATTAAAGGGTCATAGCATTAGGAAGGTCAAGAACTACTGGCCTACAGAAACCTGGAGACGTCTCAGTCTCATGCCAGAGGACTACGCTGGGCATTGGGAGCAGCAGTTGGCAGGAAGGAAAAAGATAGATGTAGAAAATTCAAGAGCTCTCAGTGCTGCCCTGAGCCCACACACACACCACTGACCTGCAGACACAGGTGGCTGGAGCTGGTAGCCGGTGAGTTCACACCAGCCCACAGGGTAGATGTCTGGGGACTCACAGTCCACCCACTGATCGTACTCGTTATCCCAGCCATCAAAGTGAATGCTGAGGAGCCGATGCACCACTCTCTTCACAGTGGCCACACAGATGAGCCTGGGCTCCATCAAGTCCACAGCCTCTAGCTTCATGCCCACCTTGAATCCATGGTTGGGGCAGTCCTGGTTGGGGGAAGAAGGCAGTGGCCTAGCTGGCCAGTACTAGGCCTGAGTGGGCTCACCAGGAGGCAAAGAACTGCTGATACAACAACTCGGAGTGGGGCGGGGGGAGGTCCCTTCAGACAGACTCTCACCGCTCTTTCAAGGGCCAGCCCCTCTGTGGAGAAGGGACTGCTCTACACTGTGGCTGATCCCTAGCAGTAAAGACTTGAAAAGATGGGGTTGAAACTGCCACTACTGCTGTCAATGAGCTGAGCCAGTCCCCAGGCTGCTGTAGACTCCCTGATTCAGCACAGGAGTCTCCTCACCATGTTAAAGAGTCTTGCTGGAGCTGCCTTCGACTTAGTCTTCTCCAAGTAGGTATCCCAGTCAAAAGGCTGTGTCTCATACCCTAGAGGGCAGACATTAGATGAAGAGAGGAAGAAGCAGAAAGTAGGAAGTGGGTCAAGGGGCAGACAGCACACTTCGGAGCCCCTGTAGCTGGCTGACCCGGCCTAGTCGGTAGCTGTCCTCCTCCCCAGGATGACATCTTGTTGCACAGGTCATGTACTGCCTCAAGACACACGGGAGTCCTGTTCATAAGCCACCACACAGCAGCTATGAGGCTGGTAGCTGTAGAGGCCCATCATCTCTCTTCTTACCTTTTGGGGGTATGAGCTCGATGTCATTCTTTTGGCAGAAGGTAGCTGGGAAAATGGCATGGGAGGAGGCATGGTAGCAGAACCAGTCTGAGCCATCTGTGGAGGGTCCCCCATCCACACAGATCATCAGGTAACCATCCAAGAGTACCTAGAGGAGGTGCCAGCCAGATGTCTCAAAAGGTAAAAACACTTGCTATACCTCAACAAGTCACATAGTTAGAAGGACAGGCCAACTACCACAAATTGTCCTCTGACTTCCATGCACATGCACATAAAATAAATGTAATTAAAAAAAAAAAAAAGCCCTAGAGGCAGGTAAACAGAAATAGACAGCATTGTAAGGCAGCTATGATTGGACATGAGGCAGGTGGATCCAACTGGATGGTTGAATTCTGCCTTCCACCAAATACCCCCAGATGTTTAGCACCCAGAACTCAGGAATATGCATTTGTGGGATAACGCACGCATCCTTTCCACTGGATGGCCAACCCATGCTGCTGGGTCTGCACCTGCCTTACCACTACCAGGCTCTCAGCATGCAGTGAGCATATGGCTGGGCATGGAGCAGTGGCCTCAGGCTGCAGCAATGAGGAAGTTAGGAGCAAGGAGTTTGGCTGAGGCTTTGGGCATGCAAAGGAGATGCAAGTGGCAGGAAGGCCTGCATGAGGGGACAGTATGGAGCCCATACCTGACACGGGACAAGGCTTAGATGTTTAGTATATCTCAAGCCCTAACGGAGGGTCTGAATAGAAAACAGGAACGTTCTCCCTCTACCACATACAAGTTAAGTACAACTTGAGCAGCCAGTGTCAGAGCCCCAAGAGCCTGATAGAAGGGGTGAAGCTCTGTGCCATCCAACCCTCAGATAGCCATCCTGGAGGCAGGAGAGTGGCCTAGGCTCACCTTGCAGATGGTTGCTACACAGATGTTGCCCAGATTCAGAGGGTCAATGGCTTCTAGTTTCATTCCTTCCTCAAACCAGCCACCTTCTGTGTAGACAGCTCGGACCTTAAAGGAATGAGGCATTTGAGGATTTAGGGGAAAGTAGATGAAGCAGGCTTCCGATGCTACAGGCCTGGGATGGGAATAGAGGGCAAGGGAGAGTCCTACTGGGTGTGATATGCCCACATATAATCCCAGAATTTAGGAGGCTGTAATAAACCAGCCTGGGCTACAATGAAACCTTGCCTCAATCTACGCCTCTAAAAAAGGTTGTCATGTATGTTAAGGACTCTAGAACAACCTTTTACAAAAGAGTCAAGGGACAGCCCCAGAGAGCAACCAAGCTCCTGCAACCTGGGAAGGATATGGTCAAAAGGGAAGTACCCACAGGCTGCACCTCACCTTCTTGAAGAGGTAAGGGACAGCATCACAGTAGATTTTCCGGAAGGTAGGGTGATGGGACATGTCACATCGTCTCTCTTGGGGAGATGGCAGAGAAGAGAGGAAGAAAAGGAGGTTGATCACAGCCAATGGTTGTCACATGCTTCCCCCAGAATTGTGGGGCCAGGCAGGCCAGCTGTGTTCTCAGCCGTGCCCCAGCCCCCGACCATACATAGGAAAGCAGACAAGCCCAGCCAGAGGGCCCCGGGAGCAGTCTTGTGGACTATTCAGCATAGGGTATCTGGGCTCTTCCTTGATGGCACCTGAGTTAATTTTTGATTTTGCTATTCACAGATTGAGCTGAGTGACCTCAGTCAAGTCACTGGGCTTTTGTGGCCCTCAGTACTATCACTTGCAGGGCAGTGACAGCAGTCCACCTCACTACACTACTGTGAGTTATAGCAAAGGTATTGCAACTGATCTTTAGGGAGGTTGAGTCTGGAGTCACAGCAGCCAGGGGCTCTACTAACCTGACATCTTGATGCCGTGGCCAACACGCCGTGACCAGCCCACTGGGTGGATCAGGGGACTCCACATGTGGCACCAAAAGTCGTCATCGCTGTCACCATCCTCATAAAGGAGCCGCAGGCGACCCCCAATTACCGTGTCCACCACAGCCATTCGGGTCTGTGACACCTGGGTCTTGTCCACAACCTCTAGGCGCATGCCCTGCCGAAAAGGGTACTTCATACTTTCTACCATCTGCAAGGACATGAAGAAGCATCTGCTTCAATCATCCAGTCCTTACATTCCCACTGCCAGCAAAGCTGAGTGTGGTGGCACACACCTTTAATCCCAGCACTCAGGAGGTAGAGGCTGGTGGATCTCTTGAGTTTGAGGCCAACCTGGTCTACAGAGTGAGTTCCAGGACAGCCAAGGCTACACAGAAAAACCCTGTCTCGAAAAACCAAAGCAAACCAAACAAAGGGCCAGCAAGGGAGAGATGACTCAACAGTTAAGAACACTTGTCCCTCCTGAGGATCCAGATTTGGTTCCCAACACTGATATGGCAGCTCACAAGCTTCTGTAACTCCAGCTCCTGGGGATTCAATGCCCTCTTCTGGCCTTCAAGGGCACTGCATGCACACAACACACATACATGCAGGCAAAACACCCATACACATAAAATAAAAAAAAAAAGTTTTTTTTTTTTTTTTTTTTTAATGGAGGGAAGACAGGGAATGGCAATGGGATCTCAGATACACTGAGCTTGCCTGTCTTGCCTGGGGCCCAATTCCTCAGAGCAGCAGAGGGCAGGCCTTCAGTTCTCAATGCCCGTTTCTCACCAGATCAATTAGTTAGGATGATGGGAATCCCAGAGTCTATTTCAGAGCAAGCAAACTCAAATGACCTATAAGCAGACTGAATTCTGGTGTCCACTGGACCTGTCACAGCTCTGCACTGATCCCTGGGCACCTCACACAACTTTGTGAAAGATTTGTGTGCAGCAGGAGTGATGGCTGTAATCCTAGCACACATGAGGGAGAGGCCTATCTGAGATCAGTGAACCCAAGGACAACCAAGACTATGTGGAGGGACTTTCTTTTAAAAAAAATAATGCTGGAGTTGGGCGTTGGTGGCACACTCCTTCAATACTGCACTAGGGAGGCAGAGGCAGGCGGATTTCTGTGAGTTTGAGGCCAGCCTGGTCTACAGAGTGAGTTCCACAACATGGGCTACAAAGATAAACCCTGTATTTGAGGTGGAAAAGAAAGAAAAAAGCTAGTTTGGAGTTAGAATTGGGGCAGGGTTTTGTTTTTGTCTTTCTGGGAGAATAAAAGCATCCAACTAAGGAATCTAAAGACCACTGAACAAATAAGACATCTGAAGAAGACAACAAAAGATCAGGGAAAATGTCCCAAGAAAATGAGTAAACTGGCATAACGGCATAACACATTTCCATAGAAAAAAAATTTCACAAATCTTCCAAAATGTGCCAAATGGTGGCAGCACACGCCTTTAATCCTAGCACTTGGGAGGCAGAGGCAGGTGGATCTCAATGAATTCAAGGCCAGCCTGGTCTACAGAATTAGTTCTAGGACGACTGGGGCTATACAGAGAAACCCTGCCTCAAAAAACAAAACAAAAACAAAAAATCTTCCCAAATGTTTGTTTCTGCTGTTCTCTATAGATGTATAAGGTAAATGGTCTTTTTAAAATCCCAACTCAATTAAAAACTAAAGCTAGCTTTGGAGTTGGACCGTGGCTCTCTCCTCCAAACCCAGGAATGCTGTTAGAGAAAAAAAATCCAAAGTCTCTGTCTTTTGTCAGAAGAGCCACCTGGTATAGGACAGATGAAAACAAAACTTAAGGGACTATTATATTGTCATTAATATCATAATCCTTTGGTTTTATTCTGACTCTTTAAAATTTTTCTCAAGGCATAAATATTATCTCAAAATTATAAGATTAATATATACAGCAACCAAGGTATCTGCATCTAGGATGTGGTATAGAGCTTTTCTAGGGTAAGGACAAAGCTGGCTTAAGAGCAGCTGCAGCCAAGCCTGTTGATGTGGAGGCAAAGCAGGACTGTTTCTAAAACACACCAGAAGGGGGCGATCTCAGAGGTTACAGAGCAGCAAAGAGAAGAGCTAGCCCACATCCTGCCACCAACCATGGATGACAACGGATCATTTAGGAAAGTGACAGATCTGGGCTTGACTGTCATCTGCCATGACACAGGTCTGGGTTTGCAAGCCTTAGGCCATTTTTTTCTACCTGGCCTTCTCTAACACATCCCTTCCAAAGCTCACAATCCAACCACACCTGGCTGTCTTCCTGTTTAGCATTATCACAGGGAAGCTGAAGCTATGATGGACTGATTTCTTTCTACACTCTTAGCTCAGCGTCAGGCACAGTTAGTCTGTTTTTTCAGGAAATGTACACACACCTGACCTGGCTGGAGAGTCATTTGTTTCAAAACATTACTGTATGCTGGGTGAGGTGGCAGAGGCAGGAGGATTGGAAATTCAAGGTTAGGCTTGCCAGACTGTTCAGTGTATAAAGGGAAGCCAATGCCCAGGATCCAGACAGTAGTCTTCACTTCTACCCATGAACTGTAAATAAACTTCAAAAATTCAAGGACATCCTCACCCAGATAGAAAGTTTGAGGAAGGCTTGGCCTATCTGAGACTGTCTCAAAAAACAAAACAAACAACCACCACCCACATACTATGTACTTTCTATACTGTAAGCAAAGGGCCAGGCCTGGAGTGTCCTCTACCAGCCCATCCCATTCTGTCCTACCACCCTCATTTTCAGAGGTGCTTGGTGAAGTAACAGCCTGGTGCTTCCATTGGAAAAGCCTAAGCGTGGTCTCTGACAAAGACCAGCTCTTCTAGTCTCTGAGGCAGTGACCTCCCAATGAGCCTGTCTAAAACTCTTGTATCCTATCTCACAACAACTTATTCCTCCTTCAGTTATCATCTAGCTCCAGTCAGGGGCTAGCAGTCTTGTTCTACCTGCTGTCCCTTTCCAAGTGCAAGGCAAGATGGATTGGGGGCAGTCAATATCTGCTCACAGACTTGTCCATATGAAAAATGTTCATGTTCTTGTGTGAAGAAAAGGGATACCTCCTTGCTACCTGTGGTGGACCACACCACCTGCCACGATCTAATCTGCCTCATCTTAAAACAAGTGCTGAGTGAGTAAGTGGCCAATTGCCCTAATAACTAAATCTGCCAGCTGTGCAAGGGGAAACAGGAGACAAATTTTTACTTTGCTAAATATAGAGTATAGAGAAAGCCCAGTAAGTACAAAAAAAAAAAAAAAAAAAAAAAAAAATCGTCACTACTTTGAGGGGAAAAAAAAAAAAAAAAAAAAAAAAAAGCCAAGGCATGCTAAGCTCATTTGAGCACAACTTGGGGCAGGTCAGTTTCCTCCTGCTAGCTAGGAGGCACAGTTTTCTACCCACACCTAGTGCCTCGAATGTGATGGCCCCAATTTCCACTCCATCTTTATGTTTCAAAGTTGACTTCCATACCATCTGAGCTCTGCCCATGCAGATACAATCCAAAAGCCAGTCTTGGGGAAGCCTGGTCAACTGAGAGTTCTGGCAGCAAGTGCTCCACTCCATATGACCTGCATCCTGCTTGGAAGCCTCCCAAGTCTCACGAGGAACCCTCAACTGGCTCACCCAGGATCGGTCTCAAACAGCTCACTCTGTCTACCGAGGTGGAAGAGACCGTGTTCTGTAGAGCCTGGGATCCTTCTGAATGGTTACTTTTAATGATCTAAGGTTGTGTTTTTGAAACAGGATCTCATTGTATAGTCCTGGCTTGCTTAGAACCTGCTATGTAGACCATGCTAGCCTCAAATTCAGAGATCCATCTTCCTCTACCTTTCAAGTGCTGGGATTAAAGGCATGTGCCACCATGTTCAGCCAAACTAACCTACTTTCTAGATTGAAATGATATTCCATACAGATGGTTGAATAGCCCCAGTTTAGATGGCAACTATTTTTATCATTATTTGTGTGCATGACTCTTACTTCTCCCACCAGGTTAGAAAATCTAGGCTGTATGTATGTATGTATGTATGTATGTATGTATGTATGTATGTATGTGTATACACACACACACACACACACACACACACACACACACACACTTTTTTTTTTTGCATTCCCATAGTACTTTACTTTTTGTTTTTTATAATTTTTGAGACAGGGTTTCTCTGTGGCTTTGAAGCCTGTCCTGGAACTAGCTCTTACAGACCAGGCTGGTCTTGGAACTCCCAAGTGCTGGGACTAAAGGTGTGTGCCACCAACGCCCGGCTTATAATTTATTTTTATTTTATGTACATTGGTATATTGCCTGCATGTATGTCTGTGTGAGGGTGTTGGATCCCATGGAACTGGAGTTACAGACAGTTGTGAGCTGCCATGTGGTTGCTGAGAATTGAACCCAAGGCCTCTGAAGAGCAGCCTGTGCTCTTAACTGCTCCAGCCCCAGTGCTTTGGTTTCTGATTTATTTTTATTATGTTTATCTGTATGCCATATGTGTGTGGTTCTGTGGAGGCCAGAAGAGGGTGCTGGATCCTCCAGAGCAGGAGTTGCAGACAGATCTGAGCTGCCTTATGTAGTTCTGGGAAATGAACTTAGGTCCTCTGGAGGCCCAGCAGGTACTTTTAACCACTGAGCCATCTCTCTAGCCCCATCCCCTTCTTTTTAAGACAGTATCTCGGCTGGGTGGTGATGTCACATGCCATTAATCCCAGCACTTGTGAGGCTGAAGCAGGTGGACTGCTACTGGGCAAGTTCCAGGAAAGCCATGACTACACAGAGAGAAACCCTGTCTTGAAAAACAAAATAAAACACAGGGCAATCATGGCACACACCTTTAATCCCAGCACTTGAGAGGCAGGAGGATCTATTTAGTTCGAAGTCAGCCTGGTCCAAAAAGCTAGTTCTAGGACAGCTAAGGCCACACACGCACGCACGCGCGCACACACACACACACACACACACACAGATCCATTTGCCACTAGCCTCCACCTCTCAAGTGGCTAGAGGGGTGGGGGAGAGGGAGTGAGGATGGGGAGGGAGGAGGAAGAAGGGGGAGAGGAAGGAGGAGGGGGAGCAAGGGGAGGGAGGAGGAGGGGGAGCAGGGGGAGGAAGGAGGAGGGGGAAAAGCTGAGAACAGAGCCAGACCTTGATGTGAAAATCTGCAGGAAGCGTCCTGGAGCCCACCAGCCGCTTCATGAGGTAGCTCTTCCAGTCGGTACACTTGATGTGGATGGCTGCAGAGACACCAGCACGAGCTGCTAACACAGACTGACCACACCTTCACCAACCCCAAGGTCAGCTGGAGGGACGGAACTGTTCAGTTCCACCACTTCAGGGCAGTAATGAGTTCACCTTATAAACTCAGCCTAAACAGACACTGACTCAGGCATACACATTAAATAAATATATATATATATATCTGCATATACAAAAACAACAACAGGCTCTACAAATCCAACTACCCAGGAACTTCTAGGCTGTGTAGGGGAAGGAACAAAGGGAACTGGCATGGGGGGCTTTCTCATTAACTCACTCCGTGGAGGCACCAGGATCTTGCTGTTAATGGCACACCACCCAATGGGGTGGACATCCACGGTCCCCAGGTTACACCAGAAGTCATGACTCGCATCGTTTTCAAAGCCTTCATATCGGAGCAACACTCGGTACCCTGAAAGGAAGAACAAGGGGACCTGTGAGGGGGAAGAGATGGGAAAGGCACATTCTCAGGCTCTCTTCCTCTAGTAGCAGTCAGACTCCCTGTGCTAGAAACTTCTTCCAGACAAGCGGGGTCCCTGTAGTGAGATATCCACTGTGTCTGCACCTGTTGCACCGACCACACCTATTGGGGGTAGGGACAGGTGCAGACATGACCTAGGAGAACTATGTCTGGGGTAGGGGACCCCACAGATCTCTCTTGCTTCCTGGACGGGGACTAAGGGCATCTGGAGGCATCCTTGGGACTGGAACCTGATGGCAATCATCTGTGTCTATTATAAGTTATTTCTCCCTGAATAATAAACATCTATTCAGCCTGTTTTCCCCAATCCTTTTTTTTTTTTTTTTTTTTTTTTTTTTTTTTTTCCTATGATAGGGTCCCTGATACCCAAACAAAACAAAATCCAGGCCACATACTTAGAAAGCATTCTGGTCTGGTTACTTCCTCTATACCCTCATCATCCCCAGAATAAACCTTAGAAATCAAAATGAAACAATACCCTAGTTTTCGAGTTTGCCTAGTTCTGTGCTCTCATCTAAGGAAGGAGAACCTCCAAGCAGGGGGAGAAAGCTGGAAAGCAAGGCTTTGGTTTACAAAGCCCATTTCACCCTATGATAACACCCACCCACTAGACAAATTCCAGACCCTGCCCTGACTAGAGAGAGGAAGACCAACCAGCTGCCTGGATGACAGAGGCGATCCAGTACACCCGGCTGGGGAGCACAGCATCACTGTTGAGGACTTCTACCTTCATCCCCTTCACGACATCTTCCCACTGGTCATAGAGGGGTACCTGTGTGGTAATGACAGCATTGAAGGGCTGAGAGGAGCTGCCTCAGGCCTCAGCCATCGTGTCCTTTGACCTTAACGTCACACATCATGCACTGTGCAGAAGACTAGGAATAAAGAGGTAAACAAGGCATGTCCATTGTCCAGAAACATGGGATGGCAAGGTGCCGTCAGGCAGAACCATGGGTGAGGGTCAGAGGCACAGACTTGAATTTTCATCATTACAGGGCCAGCTCCTAACTCTAACAGTATAGACAGCCTCTGCATCCTGACCTGTCATTCTGCCAGTTGTACAGTCTAGCACAGAGACTACCCCCTTTAACATCATTCAACCTGAGCTTACACACAGAACTGGCAGAATGCACACACACATCCCAGCCCTTCCCTACTGGGCAGCTTCCAGCTACCCTCCAAGTGCCTAACCCTAGATTTGCTGCCAATGAGAAGTTGCTCCCCTTTGGATCTTCTTTCAGTATCAGACTCAGTCTAAGCTACACAGGCAAAAATCCATCTGCCAAGGCAGGCAGGCCCACAGAGGCTGGGGGGCAGCATGCAATGGCTCCAGGTACACAGGCAAACTTTTATTTTTATTTATTTTTGTTGTTTTGTTTTTTGAGACAGGGTTTCTTTGTGTAACAGTCCTGGCTGTCCTGGAACTTGATTTGTAAACCGAGCTGGTCTTGAACTCACACAGATCCACCTGCCTCTACCCCCAATTGCTAGGATTAAAGGCATGTGTGCCCCACTCACTAGCAACTAAGAGAAGGACATAGTAGGACCTAGGACCAACTTGTCATAGTTCATAGTTCAAGACAAGTGGACAATCCAGGAAGGTCAGGCAGCTGGCTTACTATGTTCAAAAGAAAGCATCAGGAGGCCTCTTACACATTAGGAAACAGGACTGAAAGACTAAAGAAACTGGGCTTGAGTCATGCAGTGATGGCGCATGCCTTTTTTTGATCCCAGCACTCAGGAGGCAGAGGCAGGTGGATCTCTGTGAGTTCAAGGCCAGCCTGGTCTACAGAGTGAGTTCCAGGACAGGCTACACGGAGAAACCCTGACTCAAAAAACCAAAAAACGGGGCTTGATGGCTTATACCTGTGTGCCAGCACTTTTGAGACTAAGGCAGGAAGACTGCTCTCAGGCTGGTCTGAGCTATAATGTGAGACTGTCTTGAATTAAAACAAAAGACACAAAAATGAAAGACAAGACTGGCAGTGCTGGCACATGCTGTAATCCCAGGATTGAGATGCACAGGCAAGTGCCTGCGCCAGCCTGGTCTACAAAGTAAGTTCCAGGGCAGCCAGAGCTACACAGAGAAACCCTGTCTGGAAAAGCCAAACAAACACATAAATAAATAATGAGAGGACAAAAGATCTGCTGTATCACTGCAGACTAGCACAACGAACAGCTGCTGAGCACTATCATGTTCTTGGCCTCAAGCTCATCCAAATCATCCACACAGGGCCTTGATCCTTTATTCTTCAGGAAGAACCAGGAGGGCGTGCCCCAGTGGAGTGTTTGGTACTGGAAAGGTCCTTAGACAAGGGCTAAGGGCGCAGCTTGATGATATGAAGTGCATGCATTCCCTAGTGGCATGGTAACACATGCTTGTCATTCCAGCAGTTGGGAGATGGAGGCAGGAAGACCAGAAGTTCAAGGCTGTCCTCAGCTATATAGGAAGTTAGAGGCCAGTCTGGGATATATGAAATCCTGCCAAAACAAAACAATTCAGGGCTGGAGATATGGCTTAGTGATGAAGAGCACTGGTTGCTCTCGCAGAGGACCAGAGTTTAGTTCCCTGCACCTACATGGCAGCTTACAACCATCCAAAGAATTCTACTTCTGGAGGATCTGATGTCCTCTTTTTTGTTTGTTTGATTTTTCAAGGCCAGGTTTCTCTATGTAGCCGTGACTGTCCTGGAACTTACTCTGTAAACCAGGGTGGTCTTGAACTCACAGAGATCTGCCTGCCACTGTCTCCTGAGTGTTGGGATTAAAGGTATGTGCCACCAATGTCTGGCAAAAACAATTTTTAATGGGGGAAAAACATCAAAAATGAAAAAAAGACCACCCCCTGAACTCAAAGCAAAATTCAATGTGTAAATAGTAGTAGACACTTCAGAAAGCAGGGGCAGTGTGTATGGTGCAAGACAATCTTTCTAAAAGTAACAGGGTCTCACCTGGTGGCGATGCAGCCTTTAATCCCAGTACTTGGGAGGCCCAGGCAGGTGGATCACAGAGAGTTTGAGGTCAGCCTAATCTACATAGAGAGTTTCAGGACAGCCAGGACTGTTACACACAGAAATCCTGTCTCAAAACAAACAAACAAAACAAAACAGGTTCTCACTATTTAGCTCTGGCTGTCCTGGACACTATATATACCAGGCTAGCCATAAACTCAAGAGATTCACCTGCTTCTGCCTCTCAAGTGCTGGGATTAAAGGTGTGCACCATTACACCTGGAATATATTGTATAAGCATATTGGTGCTTTGTCTGTACCCCAGAAGAGGGCACAGGAACTCATGGGAATAGAGTGCTAGAATTGAACTCAGGACTCCTGGAAGAGTAGCCAGTGCTCTCAACAGTTGAGTCATCTCTCCAGCCCTACAACACAAAGGAGAATTTCTGGGGAATGGCCACTATTCTCAGGGATGCTGTCCGGCCTGGTGGAGCTCAAATGAAGTGTCTGGGTAGCGATGAGGCAGGCAGTCTGCGATGTCCTCTGGCTAGCCCTGGTTGTCTCTCCCTCATTGCCAGGGTACTCACGTGTTTAAAGCAGCTGACAGGAGCAGCCTTGTAACTGTGGTCCTTCAGGAACTTCCCCCAGTCAAACCCTAAGACCAGAGCTGCAGAACACATGGGAAGAGTTGAAGCCGGTATCTATAGCAGCCATGTTAGATCATTAACCTGGAGGCTCCATTGGGCTCTAGGAACAAGTCCTTTTATTACCACCAATGGCCATCAGCATCTGTACTGGCCTGTCCTTGGGGTTCTGACAGTATATGTCCTCAGCTGCAGCCACTAAGAGCACCCCCTGTGCACATTCACTATGCTCCCTTTTAAAAGGGCCCTGCCCACCTCCCATCCTTCTCTTTGTCTGTTACCCCCTCCTCCTCTTTCATTTGTCCTCTCTCATGCCGGTACTATCTCCAGAGGCTGGTCTCCCCTCTTTCCCTTTACCCCTTTATGATCTCTTTCCCTAATTAAAAACAAACAAACAAACAAACAAAAACCCCTCTGCTTAAACCTTGTTACATATGTCTTTCTCATGCAGCTTTTTTCTTAAATTACATTAATCAGGTTTGCGAAGCCAAGAGGCATTTCTCTCTTCCTTCATGCCTCACAGAAAGATGGGATTAAGTCAGATCTCACAGGGTTAAATTCTGAGACAGATGCTAAGAGAAATGAAGCAGCTAACTTTTGGCTTCTGGGTGGTCTCAGAACCAGGGAATCGAGAGCCACTGCAAGAAAGATAATTTCCTCAAAAGCCAGATGGCGACAGTTCATGGTAGGCCTAAATCCTCAAACTTTCCAGCAGGCCATCTTTTCCAGTTCTTTTTCCTAGACAAGGCCATCCTCTGCCATGATCTCCCACTCCAGGATTCTGTCTCACCATCCTGTCCTGTAGGTGTCCCATCTGCTAGCTGTCCTGTCCCCTGGGCGTGGAGGAAGGCTCCAATTTTGGCAGACCAGGCTGCCTTGTGCAGCACTTTGGCTTTCTTGGTGGGCGGCTTTCCCTGGAGGGCAAGAAGAAAATCATACAGGCTGGCAGCTATGCATCAGAATCAGTTTCTGTTTTGCTTGGCTTTTTTGAGATATAGTGGCCTGGAATTTGCAGCTCTCATGCCTCTGCCTCCTAATTGCTGAGATTCCAGGCATGTGCCACCATACCAAAAGAGCAGAGCTTGGTTAGGACTGCTGAGGCCTAGCTTCTGATCTTGGTCCAGATACTTAACTTTCTACAGGCATAGGTGACCCACGCCTTTAATCCCAGCACTTGGGAGGCAGAGACAGGTGAATATCTCTGTGAGTTCAAGGTCAGCCTGGTTTATCAGGCTAGGTCCAAGACAGGCTCAAAAGCAATACAGAGAAAAACCTTGTCTGGAAAAACCAACCAAACAAACAAACAAACCAGATACTTAACTTTCTTTGAGCTTGAGTTTCTTTCATAAAACTGATGATGAACCAGGCAGTGGTGGTGCATGCATTTAATACCAGCAGAAGTAGGCATATGTCTGTGAGTTCAAAGGCAGCCTGGTTTACAGACAGAGAGACCCAGGACACCCACAGAGAAACCTTGTCTCAAAAATAAAATAAAATAAAAACACTGATGAGTGCAAATACTCAGGAGATGGTTCCAGAAGGATGGGATCAGTAGAGCTGCAGATGTGGGAGACACACACATCATTCAGGCCTTTCTCTTCTCAGGAAGCCTCTCCCTAACATTTTCCCTGCAGTCCTCTCCAAGCTCCCAGCTCCCTGGAGATCTATAGCAGAGTGGCTGCAGAGCAGCCAGAAACTCTCTAAACCCACCAACATTTTGTACATATGCAAATGTCCTGGAGAGTCTGCTCCAGAACATTCTTGAGAGCTTTCATTAGGGCTCACAGAAAGCTCACTCATACAAGATAATTAAGCAATAATGACAAAGACCAGGAGTCCATCTAATACACTAGCTAAGCAGAGCACACCTGCAGTGAGATCTGGCCTTAAAGCAGTGCTTCTTAACCTGTGGGTCCCAACCCCTTGGGAGGAGGTGTGCCAAGCAACTTTTTCGCAGAGGTCAAATATCAGATATTTACATTATGATTCATAACAGTATCAAAATTACAGTTATGAAATAGCAACAAAATAATTTTATGGTTGGTGTCACCACATGAGGAACTGACCGGGCCTTGGCGGTGCATGACTTTAATCCCAGTACTCGGGAGGCAGAGACAGGCAGATCTCTGTGAGTGAGTTCAAGGTCTGCCTGGTCAACAGAGGTAGTTCTACACCAGTCAGCACTACACAGAGAAACCCTGTCTCAAAAAAATAAAACAAAACAAAGCAAAAAGGGAAAAAATTGGGGGGGCTGAAGAGATGGCTCAGCCAGTTAAGAGCACTGGTTGCTCTTCCAGAGGACCCAAGTTCAATTCCCAACACCCACATGGCAGCTCACAACTGTTTGTAACTTGAGTTCCAAGGGATCTGACACCTTCACACCAATGCACATAAAGTTCAATAAATTATTTTAAAAAAAAGAACAGTTTAAAAAACAAACAAACAAAACAACAGGGAGAACTGTATTAAAGGTTGTAGCATTAGGAGAGTTGAAACCATTACCTTAAAGTCCCCGTAAATTTTTGAGCCTTTTAAAATATGAATTGTTGAGCCAGGTGGTGGAGGCTCACAACTTTAATTCCAGCACTTGGGAGGCAGAGGCAGGGTGATTTCTGTGAGTTCGATGCCTGCCTGTTCTACAGAGTGAGTTCCAAGACATCTAGGACTACACACAGAAGAACCCTGTCTCAAAAAAAAAAAAAAAAAAAAAAAAAAAAAGGAATTGCTGGGTGTGTAGGGCATACCTTTAATCCTAGGTCAGACAGAGCTGCATGGTGTGACCCTGTCTCAACAATAAAATAAGGGAAGAATAAATAAATAAATAAATAAAATAAGGGGCTGGGGCAGTGGTGGCACATGCCTTTAATGCCAGCACTCAGAAGGCAGAGGCAGGCAGATCTCTGGGAGTTCAAGGCCAGCCTGGTCTACAAAGCCAGTTCCAAGATACAAAGAAATCCTGTCTCAAAAAAAAAAAGAACAAATAAACAAACAAACAAAATAGGGGTCTGATAAGATGGCTCACTGGTTGAAAGTACTGGCTGCTTTTCCAGAGGATCCAGGTTTAGTTCCTAGCACCTACACAATGGCTTACAACTGCCTCCAAGTCCCAGGACACCTGAGAGCCTCTTTTGGTAAGAGAAGGGAGGAGGAAGGAAGGGAGGGAGGGAGGAAGGGAGGGAAGAGGGGAGGAAGAAAGGAAGAAAGGAAAGAAGGAAAGAAGAAAGGAAGGGAAAGAAAGAGAGACAGAGGAAGGAAGGAAGGCAGGAAGGAAGGAATAGGTAGGTGGTACATTTTAAGGCAAGCTCTCATGTACCTCAGATGACTACCAGAAATGAGTTCCCCAAACTGACTAAGCCTCCAATCATGTTATGACTGGCTCAGCATCTGGGACCCCAAGAAGTGTGTGAGTGGCTGCTCTCACCTGTAGTCTAGCCAAGATACTGGCTTTCTTGGAGTTGGAGGAGTAGCTCCTGGAACATGAGACGCTGCAAAACCTCTTGGTCTTGGAGAAGAAGGCATCCCTTGTGCCCACGATACCACACATCTCACAGACCGCTGGAAAGAGACCTTAGCATGTGATTCCCTGTCATAATTACTTTTAAGCCAATCAAAACCAAAGGCTCCTTAGATTTCAGGTCACTGCAACTATGTGAGTGTTAGGTTTTTAAGGCTGACAGAATGAGAGGAGAAGGTGGTGGACAATGCATGGAGTTCTACATGCTGTCTGCAAATTTGTAGGTTCAATAGACCCTCTTCCATCAGCATCTCTAGCAGCTGGTACTACAAGTGTGTGCTGCTCCATCTATGCTCCTAAGACGATATGTGGTTTCCCTTGGCTCTGTATCAAGAGCCAGTGCTAAGGGGCTGGAAATTCACATGAACACCTACAGAAACTGGCCAACAAGTTTTAGAGTGAGGGAAGTGACAAGAGAAAAGGTGCTGAAGTCACTTAACATTTGCAGTCTTCATTCTCTGGACAAGCTGCATTTGCCTGACCACACTAGGTCACTGGAAGAGTGGCCTTTCCACAGTGCTATGGCCTGGGCTCCACTGGTACTGCATCCCAGACGATAAATCTGCAGCCACAGTCACGAACCAGCCCCTGGACCAGCTAGTGAATCCCTAGTGATTCCTGCTAGTTCTCAAGATCTCAGATTTTGAGAAGGGCTAGAAGATAGGAGGGAAAAAGATGGAGAAAGTGGGGAAGGGAGAAGCCAAACTGATTGGAAGGAAACCTGAGGGCAAATATGAAGGAAGGAGAGGTGCTGTCCACAGAGTGAGTGGAGCCTGCCGCTTTCCAAGGACATTTTGTTCACACTCTGGAAGCCCTCACACAGGGTCTATCAGCCATCCAAGAACCACCTCTTCAAAGTCTACTGGCTTCCAGAAGATCCTAGGCCACTAGCTCCTGCCCTCTGTCCTGAAGGTCATTAGCCTGTACATTCCTCTACAACTTGCCAGCTTGCAGCCCATACGCTCTCTGTACTCACATCACTGAGGGTCTCATCATCTTCACAACACACTTAGGGACTATCAGGTTACTCACACTAAAGTAATGGCATCTAACAAGTGCTGAACAGACATCAGGTGTCGGAGAATTATACTTTGGAATTATACCACAGGAGAGGAAATGACCCTCGAGGACAGTCTCTGAGATAGCTATATGGCTCTGCCCACATTGCCTGTGTCCATCCATCCCCGATTCCACCACAGCCCTGACTCCTCTCCATCTAAGGACACTGTGAAGGCACCTGGCTCAGAACCACTTCCATCCAAGGAGCGGGTCTTCCCAGGGCTAAGCAAAGGCAGAGGTGATGTGGGTAGCTCCCCTGCTTCCCGATCTTCATTTTCTGCTTCACTTGACTCCTCCAGATAGGAGCTGCTCTCACTGCATGCACTGCTGTTGTAACTCCGGAAGCTATCATAGCCCCCAAAGAGTTCCAAGTCATCCTCCTCCTCTTCTTCCATTGGCTCTGAAGATGGCGTCTCCTAGGTGAAGAATGACATTGCTTGGCTTGGGAAGAAAATTTGCAAACCTGTTAATCCACCCAATATGATTCGGGATTTGAACTTTAGTCCTATGAAAGAGCTCTTACCGCTGAGCCACCTCTTCAGCTCCCTACAGGATGATATTTTAATATGGACAATATAGAATACGGATGGAGTTACATCTGCATAAACCTACCATAAACTAAAATAATTATAAATTGAGGAGCTGAAGAGATGGTTCAGTGGCTAGGACCACTGATTGCTTTTCCAGAGGACCCAAGTTTGGTCAATCATAACCTTCTGTAGCTGAGGTCCCAGAGGATCTCCTGCTTCTTCTGGCCTCTGTGTGCATCAGACATGGCATGGTGCAGACATGCATGCAGGCAAAATGTCTATAAAAAAAATCTTTTTAAAGCTGGGTGTTGGTGGCTTACGTACGGAAGCAGAGGCAGGTGGACCTCTGTGAGTTCAAGGCCAGCATGGTCTACAGAGCTAGTTCTAGGACAGCCAGGACTACACAAAAAAAAATCCAATCTCAAAAAAAAAAAAAAATTGTATGTTGAAAATTCATTTAAGACATCTAGGAGGCCAGGTGCTGGGACTAAAGGCGTGCACCACCACTACCTGGTTCAAAACAAAACTCCTGTCATTGCCTAGCCCTGTGTTCCTTGCAGTGTGTTCAGTAAACCTATTGTCTTTGTAAAAGTGGGGGCGGGGTGAGAAAATTGAGACTGGGACTGTCCCCGGTGGGTCTGAGTAAGATGCCATACAGATAGTGACAGTACCACACACAGCTTGCGCCATTTAACCTACGGGGATCTCAGGTTTTTCATCCACGACAGACAGAAAAGTGTTGGCTCACAAAATGTGAGGTATAGATGTGATACTACATAAAGAAACCCATGGTCTAAATAGCATCTCTAGTGCTTCCTAGATGTAATCCACAGCAAGTCAACTCCCACAGTCTCAGCTTCCAAAATGAGGACAATACCACTATTTATTAATATTTGGGGAAGAAGAATTGATAAAACAGTCAGAAGAGTGCTCCATAAATGTTGGCTATTATTACTTCTTGAAAAGGGAAAGAGACTTCAGATGCAAGGTGTACCATGAAAAAGCACAGCAAGGTTTAAGGAACTGACACACTTGGTGCCAACCTCTTGCACTTCCCAGCTGTGTCAGCTTCCTGGGAGAATCCAACAGGCTGTTTTAACCCCTCCCTACAGGAGATGGCTGTGAGTATACTGGGAGACAGGCACGTAGAATTTCCAGCATAGAGAATAACCAATTTCTATTTCCCTTTACTTCCCGCGTGGAAGCGACAGGCCGCACAATCCCTAAAGCACAGGACCACGAAACCAAGAAGACAAAGGAGTGGTGTCAGAGTTTGGAGTCCAGTTCCAATGCCCCTGCAGGGGGAGGCGTCTCCTTCTTCCCCAGACCCGAGCCCACAGCACAACAGGAGCAAAAACGAACCTGAGTGGTCTCCGGTCGGACTAAGATCCTTACCTTAGTTTACCAATCCTGCAACTCTCCACCCCCAAAGGCATCGCTAAAACAGGGCGTCCGCCGAGTGAGGCGTTACGGGCTCCCTTCCCCGGCAGGGCTGAGCCTTTTCCCTCTTACCTCAGTGCCCTGCGGTTTCTCCATGATATTAAATTCAATTTCCTCAACCGTCACCAGGTGAGGGAAGCCATATTGCCCTCGCAATTCACCGAGAGTGTGCTCATTGGCTACCACGCCTGTGCTGCAGACCAATCACATAGTAGGAAATGGGAAAAGCCGGTTCCGCGCTCATCCGAACCCCGCCTTCATTAAGGAGGGGCTGGGTAGCCCGGGAGGTTTTGGGAATTGTAGTTTTCTCCGGGGTGCCTCTCTCAGCGTCCTCTCTGTAAACCAATTTATAACCCTTGGGAGCACCTACGATGTATACGTCCAGGCGCCAGACAAATCTTCGGACCCTCCCCAGCTAGGAAATAAAGGTACTCTTTTACTAGGATGCCTAGAAGAAATGAAATGCCTAGTCCCTCTTTCAACTCAGGCAGAAACTGGGTTTTTTTGTTTTTTCTTTTTTCTTTTGGTTTTTCGAGACAGAGTTTCTCTGTGTAGCTTTGGAGCCTGTCCTGGAAATCGCTTTGTTGACCAGGCTGGCCTAGAACTCACAGAGACCCGCCTGCCTCTGCCTCCGGATTGGTGGGATTAAAGGTGTGTTACCACTGCCTGGCAAAACTGGAATATTCTTAATCCCTATGTATACCTAAATGTTCTGCTCGCTCAAAATACTCAGGCTTGGGCTTATGAGATGGTTTAGCGTGTAATGGAGCTTGACACGTAAACTGTTCTACCTGAGTTCAAATCTATGATCCCCTGACAAAAAGATGGAAGGAGGGGCTGGAGAGATGGCTGCTCTTCCAGAGGTCCTAAATTCAGTTCCCAGCAATCACATAGTGGGCTCACAACCATCTGCAATGAAATCTGGTGCCCTCTTCTGGCCTGCAGGCATACATGCAGGTAGAACACTATACATAATAAACCTTTACAAAAAATAAAGATTGGAAGGAGAGAATCTACTCTATGAAGTTGTCCTGACCTCCACATACACACCCACACACGCACCAAGCAAACACACACATGCTAAATAAATAAAAGCATAAGACTGGAGAAATGGTTCAGTGGTTAGTGGCTGATTTTTAACAGGACAAGGGTTTGATTTCCAGCATCTACATGACAACATACAAATGTCTATAACTCCAGTTGTAGTGGATCCTACCCTCTTTTCTGACCTCTGAAGATGACTGACACTAACATGGGCATGCATACACACACAACAAAATACCTATATACATACAAATTATAATAATGATATGTTATAACCCTCAAGCTAAGCAGATGACTCAGGAAGTAAAGTGATTGCAGCTAAAGCATGGGGACCTGAGTTCTATCCCTTGTACATGATGAAGTATGCCTATAATTTAATCCCAGCACTGGGTAAGCAGAGACAGGAGGATCCATCCACATGGTTTTCTGGTCAGCCAGCATAGATACAGTGAGTGGTAAGAGACTAAAGATATCTGAAGTCAACTTCTATTCAACTTCAGTACACACATGGAATCCCCACAACTTCCTGGGATCTCAGGGATTATTGTGTAGTCTCACAAACATCTGAAATCCAGAGAAATCTAGTCATCATCTTACTTCTTCCAGATCCCCCCCCAATCTCCTTAGCCCTTTTTGTTGCTTTTTTTTTTATTGTTTGTTTCTTGTTGTTTTTGAGTCAGGAGTTTCTCTCTGTAACTGTCCTGGCAGTCCTAGAACTTGCTTTGTGGTTCAGGCTGGCCTTGAACTCACTGACATCCACCTGCCTCTACCTCCCAAGTGCTGGGATTACAGACATTGCCACCACCTTCTGGCTATTTTTAAATTTTTATCTATTTATTTATTTTTACATGTATTAGAGTTTTGCCTTCATGTATGTCTGTGCGCCATGTGAGTGCCCATTGCCAGAGAAGGGTGTGGGACATCATGGAAATGGAGTTACAGACACTTGTAAATTGCCATATGGGTGCTGGGAATCTAACCATGTCCTCTGGAAGAGCAGCCAGTGCTCTTAACCACTGAGCAATCTCTCTAGATCATTATTTTTGTTTTATTATTGTTGTTGTTGCTATTGTGTTGACTTTTTTTGTATGGTATGGAAGAGACTTATTATAGCCTTAGCTGGCCTGGAATTCACTATCTGGCCAGGCTGGCCTTGAACTCAAAAAGAGATCCATCTATCTCTTTCCCAAGTGAGTGCTGGGATTAAAGTCAAGCATCATCATTCCCCACTTTGTTACTGGTTTTTAAAAAGCCATTGAGATGGGCAATGGTAGCATATGCTTTATAATCCCATCACCTGGAAAGCAGAGGCAGGTAGACCTCTGTCAGTTCGAAGCCAACCTAGTCTACAGAGTGAGTTCCAGGACTTCCAAGGAGTATTTCTCAGAGAAACCCTGTCTCAAAAAAAAAAAAAAAAAAAAAAAAAAAAAAGAAAGAAAGAAAACAAAAGAAAACTGACTAAACTGACTCTCCCCCGCTGTCATAGATTCATGAGTGTGATGAGCCTGTCCTATCCAGAAGACATCGTTTAGCTCTAGTCTCTGAAACTTGCCCAGTGGTTGTAACACACACCTTTAATCTCAGTACTTGGGAGGCAAAGGCAGGTGCATCTCTGAGTTCAAGGCCAGCCTGGTCTACAGAGAGTTCCAAGACAACCAGGGTTACACAGAAAAACCCTGTCTCTAAAAACAAGAACAAAAACAAAAACAAAAAAATTTACTAACTTCTGTTCTGTGATCCCTGAGGCCTGGGCTGGGTGTTATGTATTACCCCATTTGTGCCTGAGCACTCCAGTGATACTCAGTCTCTGCAAACAGTATTGGATTTGTTTGTTTGTCTGTTTTTGTTTCGAGACAGGGTTGCCTTGTGTGGATTTGGAGCCTGTCCTGGAACTTGCTCTGTAGACCAGGCTGGCCTCGAACTCACCTGCTTCTGCCTCCTGAGTGCTGGGACTAAAGGCATGCGCCACCAATGCCTGTCTTAAGCACAAGTCTTTTTGCTGTTGTTTTTAGACAAGATCTCTTGTAACCCTGGCTGGCCTTGGATTTACTATATAGCTGTCTACGGCTAGCCTGAACCTTCTCATCCTCCAGCCTCCACCTGTCAAGTTCAGAGGGTTATGGAACTCCATCTTCAGAGGCTCTGACACTCTCATCTTTCCATTGCAGGTACAAGGACACAAATTAAATTCACTTACACAAACACACAACTTTAAAAACAAGATGGGCATGGTGTTGATTGCCTTTTAATCCCTACACTTGAAAGGCAGAGGCAGGGGCAGGAGGAGTTTTATAAGTTTCACCCTGGTTTACTTAACAAATTGGAGACCAGCAAGGACTACAAAGTAACATCCTGTCTCAATAACAATATTGACAATATGAAAAGGGCTAGAAATATGGGTAAGCAGGTAAACACATCTTCAGGACAAGCTTGATGACCTGTGTTTAATCCTTTTTAACCCCAATAGTTGTTCTCTGGCCTCCAGATGTGCAGTCTGGCATGTATGTGCTTGCATGCACCCACATACATACATACACAACAATAAACAATTAACAAATAGGGATTGGGGTGCAACTCACTTGGTAGGAGTACTTACCTAGCCTTGGGTTTGACTGTGGTGGCACAAACTTGTTACCTCTGATCATGACATGCTGGAGGTAAGAGCACTGCCTGCTCTTCTAGAGGTCCTGAGTTCAATTCCCAGCAACCCCACATGGTGGCTCACAACCATCTGTAATGAGATCTGGCCTGCATAGACACATGTATACATAAAAAATAAATAAAACTTAAAATATATTTAAAAAAAGAAAAATCCATAATCATCTTTCTGTTGTTTCTGAGACTGGGTTTCTCTATGTAGCCTAGTTGTCCTAGGACTCACTCTTTAGACCAGGCTGGCCTCAAACTCACAAAGATCCACCTGCCATCGGCCTGCTGAGTACTGAGATTAAAAGCATATACCACCACTGCCCAGCCAGTTGAAACTTCTTACTCCATCCGGCTCTGCAGCTCCTGCATCAGGCTGCAGCCCACTTACTAGTTTGAATTGGCCCCTTACACAGGCTATTCCTTTCTTCTCTAAGCCTTTTCTCTGTATCACTGATGACTCAGGGATCTTTCACCTGCCCCTTCCTACTGGATAATTTAAAAAGTACTGCAAATGATGATGTGTCTCATACAGGACATAAATCCCTTGAGCTCAGGGCTGGAGAGATAGTTAAAGCAGATCTGGGTTTGATTCCCAGCATTGTTCTGTAAGTGTCTCCTCAAAGACTAAAACTGAAGAAGGCTCAGAGATTAAGGGAACCGTCTGCTCTTACAGAGGTCTTGAGTTCAATTTCCAGCAACCATATGATGGTTCACAAACATCTGTAGAGATCCTTCTTCTGACCTGCAGGAACACATGCAGACAGAACATTGTACACACACACACACACACACACACACACACACACAAAGACTAAAGCTTTCCATCCTTCAGGGAAGCTCCTTAAACAGAGAGGCAAACAACAACAAAATAGCTTGAAGGGCTTCCTGAAACTAACCAGATTCACCAGGCCCCTCTGAGCAGGAGTAATCAGAGCTCTATCAGAGCTTAGGGGCAAAGAAGACCCTCAGACCAGAGCAACTGCCTAGAAGGGGTTTGTAACAACTGAGGCACCTGGGAAGGACACTCTCCAACAAGTTGAGCTGCCTGCATTGTGCTCCAGGGTCCCAGCTTTGTGAGCTGTCACCCATGCTGGGATGGACCTTGGTGATACACCAATAAAACTCATTGGCTCACCAAGTTGGTTATTAGCAGTATCTGTCCCCAGGAAAAGCTTCTTCTGGCCTGCAGGGATACATGCAGGCATAAATCTTTAAAAAAAAGTATGATACTAATTAAAAATAGATGGAAATTTAGAATGGATACTCTGCTATATTTTTATGTATCTCTCCCTTCCCAGAAAGGGTTTTTCCTGGCTGTCTTGGAATTCCCTCTGTAGATAGACAAGACTGGCCTTGAACACAGACATCCACCTGCCTCTGCCTCCTTCTACATTGTTTTTGTTTTTTTTGAAACCTGTATTGCTTTGGAGCCTGTCCTGGAACTACCTTTGTAGACCAGGGTGGCCTCAAACTCAGAGATCCGCCTGTCTCTGCCTCCTGAGTACTGGGATTACAGGCATGCACCAC